GATAGGCCATCACATTCGGCGCGTGCGCAACGGTGCAAGGAGCAGGCCGCTCATTGGTCCTCGCTTTCCACATGTTATTTTCCTTTTCCCGGACATTCATTCCAATGTGGATTGCCAGGGGTTGGAGATTTTTTTTCCTCTGGCGGGTAACGCTTGCTACCCAGGCCCAACCCCGCCCCCCGGGGTAACGCTAACGATCGTAACTTTTTTGGCGGTGAAGGGCGGACCCCCTCCTCTCAGTAGGTATGGCGCTGTTATCATAGGCATGGCGTGGTGCTGAAAGGCATGTGTGGTGCTCACAAACGTGTCGTGGCGTTCGCAGGTTCCCCCACCCGTTGCGGCGCCGAATTCACAGGCATGGCGTGGTGCTAAAAGGCATGTGTCGGTGCTCGCCTGCCTGTTGTGGCGCCTGCAGGCTAACCGCATCAAGCATCTAAGACCCCCACCACCACCCCCCCCTCATCCTGTGAAAGTATAACGCACCCGGCACCCTGGAAGCGTTACCCCGGCACCATAGGAGCCCGCATATAGTGCTCGGGGCAAAGCTAAGCCTTGCTGAGCCCTGCTAGCTCCCGCTAAGCCCTGCTACGCAATGATAAGCCAGGCTCGCCCCCTGCTGAGCCCTTGTTTGATTTGTGCGAGGTGCTAAAGATATCGCTCTGCGAAAACGACCCCCGGAACATATGAAATCTTGGTGCGGTGCTAACCATAACCCGGGGGGGGGGTTTTAAAGGCTTGCCGGGGTTATTGTAGTGCGCAAGCTAGTGTGGTTTATGTCTACATCCCTATGTTTTCTTTCCCTACTTTTCCTACTAGTGGAACTCGGGAAGCAATGCGGCCAGGGGATTTCGCAACCATCTCTGGGCAGAGCAATGGTTATCCCGTGTCTGTTACCATTGGCGCTGACGAAGGCGAGGCGACGTCGAACGACGCCATGAGGGCAGCCGCTGTATGGTATAATATAATCCTACCTGTTTCCGCCTGCTCCACCGCCTACTACTACCCTCCCCCTTCGTCGTCCTCTGCCCCTCCTCCTCCTCTCCTCCCCCTTCCCCTCTGGATTGCGCTTTGCGGTATTGGGATTCTATCAGTGGCCGTGCGGGCCGTATGTGGTTATCCGCGCAGCGCCGTTGCCCTTTTGCCTCGTCCTCCCCCTCGTTCCTCCTCGTTATCCTCGTACGCGTTCGCTCGCATTTGCGGGCCAGATTTCGTGGCATTTTCGTTGCGTGATAGCGCGTCGAGGTACGCTGTGGCTGTTCGCTCGTATTTGCTTATATGCCATACAAAAATCCCACCTCCTCCCACCCTCCCCCACTCTCCCGCCTCCCGCCTCCCCCACCTCGCTCCCGAGGTTTCCCCCTCCTGCCGTATCCTTCCATTTTTTCCTGGCCGTCTCGTTCGAAGCAAGCTACGGCTGGTCTTGCCGAAAGTTCTGAAAGTGTCAGCCCAGCAGCTTGCGTGCCACCGATACCACTCTCCATGTGCTGCGGTGTACACGGGCGACGTGGTGAGGGTTTCCGCTGTGTGTGGCGGGCCCCGCACAAAAAAAATGTCGCAAGGTATTGATGTGACTGTTGTAGACAGGCGTCGTGGTGCACGGAAGCGTTGTGGCGTACGCTGGCGCTGTGGTGCACGTGGCTGCTGTGGTGCACGCAGGCGCTGCGGTGTACACAAACGCTGTGGTACACGCAGGCAATGTGGTGTGCACAAGCGACGTTGCGCACACGGTTGCTGTTGTTGCTGTTGTATACAGACATTTTGCGGCGTACATGTGCGACGTGGTGGCGTTGTGCACGCAGCGGTTGTGGCGTTCCGAAGCACTTGTGGTGCACTCAGGCGGCGTTGTCTTGCACGAAAACATTTGGCATTGTCGCGCAGCGCGCGCAAGCAATTTATTGCGCCGATGGCGCGGGCGCACCCTGGCGGGCGCACGCCGCGGCCGCCGTTACCGTTACCCGCCGCCGCCCCCCCCCGGGCAACTGCCGTTACCCAAAACAAAATTATCACAGAGCGACCCTACCTAGGAGTTGGAGCCCCGAGGAGACCAATATTAGTAATGACGGTAAACGCCGTCTTGCTTGCGGGGGTCCCGGTCTTGCCATCGAGGCTAGTTCGGCACTTGTCGCACATTGATGTTGCCTTGCCTTTCCTTTGTTGTTGCTTTCGCTTTGCTTTGTTTTGCGTTGATTGTGCTTTGCTTTGCTGTTGTTGCTGTTGCTTTGCTTTGCTTTGATGCTTTGCTGTGCTATGCTAGGCTATGCTATGTTGCGCTATGCTGTGCTGTGCTGTGCTATGTTATGCTGCGCTATGCTATGATATGCTGTGCTAGAGTTTGCCAGACTGCGCCATGTTATGCTAGACTATGCTATGTTATGCCATGATGCGCGATGGTATGTTATGTTATGATATACTGCGCCATGCTATGCCGTGCTATGTTATGATGCGCTATGCTATGCTATGCGATGCTAGGTTATGATATGATTTGAGATGTTGCGCAAACTAAGCTGAACTAGGCGAAGCAAAGCTAAAACTAAGCTAAGTTAGGCTAGGCTAGGCTAGGCTAAGATAAGTTAAGATAAGCTAAGCTAAGCTAGGCTAAGATGAGATAAGCAAAGCTAAGCCAATTGGGCGCAATTGGGGGAACCGCGGGGCTGATACCGGGGGAATCGCCCGGGGCGGTTTGCACTGCCCGGCCCCTTTTACGAAAGAGAGTCATAACCCTCTAGGCAGAGCCTAGGTAGGGAATCAATCTTGGTGCGTTTCTAGGAGGAACTTCGTGGGGTTTGGGAATTGGCTCACCGCGCGAACCTCCCTCGCTTTTGCTTCCTACTTTTGGAGGGGTTCCGACGTGTAGCCGGGGGCTTGAATGGCTCTAGGAGGAACCTTGCTGGGGCTGGGTCCATGCCCTCCTCTCGGCCCCCGCCTTTCTCCGTGCGACCTCGAAGTTGCCATGCGCATTGCTCAAGCGTTGTCCGAGGCCGCGCGGGCGACGCGAGCCCGCGCATTCTCGTGACGCAAGACGCTCTGGTTGCAAACTCGGGTGGAAGGCCCGCGCGCCCCGGCCACGCACCTGCGAATTAATGCGGCCGCGGCCGCCCGAACTCCTCGCGGCGACTTGCCGCCGCCGCGGGTCCAGACGACGCCGCCGACGTGGTTGGCCGCGCCGGTGGCGCTGGCCCCCGACCGCCGCTGCCTCTTGGGCGCTGCGTTTTAGGGCCCTCTGCGCGGAAATGCCGAAGTCCGCGTGGCGCGTGGAGCCCAGCCCAGAGCAGCCGCTCACGGACCGGCGCGCCGCCATCCATTGGCGAATAATTCCCGCCCCCGCGCGTTGGCATGAACCAGCGATGGGCGGTGCTGCGCATGTATGTAGACCGAGCAATGTCCTTTCCAGGCGACCGCGACCAGGGGGATCGGAGCGGATGCGTCTTCCTCTGGGATTGCGGCGTTGCGCGGTTGTTGCTGTCGCCCACAATGAAGCCAATTTGCGCGCCGTTTACCTCTGTTGCGTGGGCACATTCCGCCGCCCCTGTGCCCTGCCAGGGGCTTCGCCGGTTTCTCTTTCCGCCTGCCCCCGGGGCAACCACGGCCGTCGTCCGCCGTGGGCCCACCGTGGAAATGGGACCTGCCTGGCCAGGCTTCGGGTTGTGCACAGATCGCCCCGCCCCAGGTAACCCTAGTTGGCCTCAACAGGCCCCCCGATTAGTCCCGACTGGTTTCAAAGACCTCCCCGAGTGGTCCAGCGCGGCCTCAGCACCCCAACTCTGGAGAGCGTTGCTTTTCCGTGTGCCCGTTGCGCTCGCTCGCCACAGAGGCCGAAACGCCCGCGGCGTTCTTCCAGCCGCTTGTGCTAGGAGGACGAGTAGGAGGAGGGCCGCCCTGGCCGCCCTGGCCACGGCGGTCGCCCCTTGAGCTGGCGCGGCGTTGGGTGCCCTTCGGCGCCTACTGGTTCGTCGTCATGCCCGCGAGGTACAGTGCGGGCGCAAGCGCGGGCGCCCGCGACAGACCCGCGCCGCGGTTTTGCAGGAGGAAGAGGGAAGAAAAATAGGAGCGGGATGATGATGATGATGATGATGATGATGATGATGATGATGATGATGATGATGATGATGATGATGATGATGATGATGCTGTTGATGTTGATGTTGTTGTTGTTGATGATGGTCATGATGACCATGATGATATTGACAATGATGATGATGATGCGGGTGATGATGAATATGTTGATGATGGTGATGATGGTGATGATGATGATGATCACCATGATGGTGATGATGGTGATGATGGTGATGATGATGATGATGCTGATGATGATGATGATGATGATGATGCTGATGCTGATGCTGATGCTGATGCTGATGCTGATGCTGATGCTGATGACGATGATGGTGGTGGTGATGATGATGAAGATGATGGTGATGACGATGATGGTGGTGATAGTGATGATGATGCTGATGAGGAGGAGGGCGAGGAGGAGGAGGCGGAGGCGGATGGCGAGGGGGGGCGGGAGGAGCTGAGGGACGAGGAGGGGGGGGGGGCGGGCTGAAGAGGAAGAGGGGGAGGAGGAAGAGAGCAGGTGGAGGGTTGAAAAGGAGAAGAAGGAGGAGGAGGAGGAGGAGCGAGAGGGAGGAGGAGGAGGAGGAGGAGGAGGAGGAGGAGGAGGAGGAGGAGGCGGAGGAGGAGGAGGAGAGGAGGCGGAGGAGGAGGAGGAGGAGAGGAGGCGGAGGAGGAGGAGGGAGGGGAGGAGGAGGACGAGCAGCAGGAGGAGGAGGAGAGGGAGGAGGGAGGAGGAAGAGGAGAACGAGGACGAAAGGAACGAGGAGAAGGAGGAGGAAGAGAAGGAGGAGGAGGAGGAAAACGGGGGGGGGGAAATGAGGAGAAGAAGGAGGACATGGGGCATGCGGGCATGTGGACGAGGATTGTGATTGCCTGTGTCCGCCCTCTCTCCCAGTCCCCGCGCCCTGCTTCGGCGAGCGGGGGCCGCGCGCGCGCGGGCGCGGGAGGTAACCTGTTTTGGAGCGACACCGACGTCCTGAACGCGCTGTGTCTGGCCGTCAGGCCCGCCGCCCGTCCCGCGGTTTCTGGAGTCAAAGGAGGAACGGGCACCGATGCCGCTACCCCGCTACCCATGTTTAGCGTTTCGGATTTCAGGTGGACAGGTGCCGATAGATCCTACCCTTTTGCTTAGTCTTTCGCGTAGGACGTCGCATCGATACCGCTTCCCCTTGGCCGTTACTGCTACCACCGATCCACATTTCAGAGAGAGAAAACAATGCCGCTGCCCTGTCCTCGTTTCGTTTTTTCGGTTTTCATGGAGTCTCTCGTCGCCACCGCTGGATTCGCCACGAAGTTTTTGTCAGAACGCACCGCGGGGAATGTCCGAGGAGTAGCGGTGTTGGTACCGCTGGGTTTTCCCACGGGTGGAACCCAGATGCGGCGGAACCGCGCGCCAGGACCCCTCCATTGCGGTTAGGGAGCGTGGGCTCAAGGGGTCGAGAGGATCTAGAGGATGGACGTTCGAGGATCGATGATCGAGTGCCGAATGTCGCTCGAGGATCGAAGGTCGAGGTTCGGGGAACGAGGATCGATGTACCCTGGGCCAGGCTTTAGGGGGGTGGGTCACGGGGAGCGCCTCGACCCACAATCGCCCACTCATCGCCGACAGGGGCACGACGACCCGCCCAGCCCTGGAACGTGTGGATTCCCCATCGGGGGCTCGTCGCCGATCTGTCGGCGATGCGTTGACGACTCAAAGTCGCCAGTTACTCCCCCAGAATCGGTCCCTGCCTAACGTTCCCCGCGGGTTGGATTTTCTAACGGTTCCGTCGGTTCCTGACGGTGTTCTTGCCTCGGGGTGTGTTCCAGCAACTGCGCCTCGCCGGAAGCGTTCTCGGGGTGCCCGGATCGCCCCGAAAGGCCGCCAAAGGCCGTTCCCCGGTGCCCCAGAAGCCGAAAGACCCGGCTTGTTTGCACAGTGCCGCGACGGTGTCCTTTGGAGCGTCGTCGATGCTCGACCCAAGAATCCGACGGTGCATCGTATTCCGGCCCTCGAAGCTGAGCCGCCCTGGAACTCGGCTTGACGGGGGTCCGAAATGGTACAGTGCACGGTTGCCGTTCCCGCAATCCCCCTTTGCAGTCTTCCATCGGGTCTACGAAAAAAGTGGCCGCTCACTTGAGTTGACTTGTGGCACGCGGTTTCCAAGGTGCGCGGGGGATGGGGCCCAACCAAAGCTCTCATGCCGCCACTGTTCGGTACCAACTCACGGGAATGTTGTATGTGTTCGCGATTTCGTCTCTACCAGGGCGCAGTGGTGTGCGTTCAGTAGCGTCTGGTCATCGACGAGGAAGCGCCGATATAGCGTCGACTCGCGTTGGCCTGCGTCGGCTCGATCGACCCAGCAATTCTTCAGCTCAAGGGTTTTCGTTGGCTCAAGTTCGACTGAGACAATCGCACGGCCCGGCGGCGCGTCGAAATGGCTGGCCGTCGCTGTGTGCTCTCAGCGGCTTGCGTGGCGCTCGCGGCAATCACCTGCCTGCGCACAGGCGCCGTTGTGCCAGGGCCCGTACGCGATCGCGTCGCGCCGCTTGCTGCTGCCTCCGCTGCTGCGGCGTTCGGTCCTCCCGCGCTGGCGGATGAGATCGGCGATGCGGCGAAGAAGATGGGTTTCGATTCGTACGCTTTCGCCCAGGTGGTGGGCTGGAACAGCGGAATCTACCTGCAGGCTCTTGGGAAGTCTCAGCCGCTGGACGCCCCGAAGGCCATCAACAAGATGATTGTGATAGGCGCCCAGGCGGACCCGAAGCTCCTGAACGCGGCGGCGGAGGCCCATCACAAAGCCATCGGAAGCACCAGCGGGGTGAACGGCGTGACCTCGCAGGCCGATTGGGACGCCCCAGAGTCCACTGCGATGGACGTCTACAGTTCGGTCTCGGCCATCGCGGATTCGGGGGCTCTGCGCTCATGAAGTCCTTGTTGAACGGTGCCGACGTTGAGAAGGCGCACTCGGTTTTCTTGGCTTTCGAGGGCGCGGTGAAAATAATAACTAATTAGGTGACCTCGCCCGGACCCGCTGCGGCGGCGCCCTCGGGCGATAGCGTTGGCGCGGCAGCCTGGAAGCTTTCGGGCGTGCCCCACCCGTTCGTGGTGTCCTTGGATTGGACGTCCGACATCTACTTGCAGCCTTTCCTCCAGTGCGTCGGCGACGGATGCCTTGGAGGCCGTCGACACAGCGATCGCCACGGGCGCCGCGGCAGACGGGGGCGCGCCGAAGGCGGCGGCGGTGGCGCGCAGCGAGGCCATTGGCAGCGTCGGGCACCTCTGGAACGCGCCCTTCGGAATGCATGGTGGATGCGAGGAAACAGAATTCAGCCATAGGAGGCTCTCCTGAGTTGCCGCGTGCAGCGATGGGCATGCCGCGCACTCAAGGCCACTTGCACAGGGCCACCCGTTCGCGTTCGCGTTCGCGTCCCCATTAGCGTTTCTGGCCGCAACGCGCCTCGTGGGAGGTCCCGGGGGTCGATTTTGAAGAAAGATGATGTAAATGTTCGCGTCTTTTTTTCCCCCAGCGACTCCGAGAAAATGCACCCCAGGCCGTTTTGCATTTTTCGCAGTTTTCGGTCTCGCGGGGACCGTTTTCGAGCTTATAGGACCTGTTCACCTGTTCGCGGGTTAGGGTCCTCGTCCTTGTCCTCCTCATCCTTTTCAGCCCCCATGCGCCGTGTTCCTGCCCGCGTGAATCCGCAACCCTGTCTTGGGTCCCAGGGCCAAGCGGGTCGGCCGGCGTTCCCAAGCCCGCGACGATATGGGTGCGCGCCCATCGAAGAAAAGGCCTTCGCGAGCGGGGTGCCCCTCACGGTTCCCAACGCCAGTCGGTCCGGTCTTGCCGCGGCCAGGGCGTGGGCCCGACGCGCCCGTCTCTCCCTCTCGGCTGCTCGCTCCAGCCTCGGGGCCTCGACTGGGGTTGCGGAGCGCCCTGGAGCGTCGCCCCAGGGTGCGCCCCACTGGCCGCCCCACCACTCCAAGCCTTGGTGGTTTCGTCGCGGCCGGGCCGTGAGCAGCGCGTCTCCGACGAGCAGCGCCTCCCATTCCCGTTCAGAGGCTCCGCCCCCAGCCGCCGCCGCCAGCTTTTCCAGCAGCTTGGGGCGGGCCGTCGCGACCGCGCCCCAAGTCCGACCCGGCACCTGCACGGAGGTCGGTGCGCCGCTGCGGACGCCCGCGGACCAGGGGAGGCGTTTCCACCACCCACGGTCGGGGAACTCGGTTCGAGGAGCGGCGGCGGCATCAATACACCACCACCTACCTTGGCTAGGCCCATCCTGGGCCCTGGGCTGGTGTCCCAGGCCAGGGGGAGCTTGTACACCAGTGCTGGGCCCAGAATGGGCCTGGCGAGGGTTGGTGGTGGTTTCTTGTTTGGAGCTCTCCTAAGAGGCGCGGCGGCGGCAACGGCTCAACTGCCCAATCCCACGATTGCCGCTGCAGGCGTGGCGCGGGCACCTGGGCCAAGGCAGCGTGGGCCGCTTGCACATGCTCTTCAAGCATTTGTGCTCTCATGGCAAAATTGTTCACGTGCTCCACAATTGGGGCTGCATATTCACTTCCACTTTCCCTGTGTGTCTGCTGTCCTGGGCCTGCCCCATTTGAACATCGCAGCTCCCCACTTCCGGACGGGATGCCGAGACACCCTTGCATGAGGCCGGGCGGGATGAAGCCGGCTGCAGGCGACCGCTCACCGCTGCTCCGGCCACCGACACCGGCGCGTCTCCGCCACCGACGGCATCCCCTCATCCCTCTCCGGTTCAACGGCAGGCCTCGCCACAGCCGCTTGTGCAGCGCCGAGATCCACAACAGCGAGCTCCATGCACAGGAGTTGGGGGAGGAAAGCGCAGGGTTGAGTGGGTAGGGCGATGTGAGCAGGGAGGACCGAGCAGTCGGCTCGAATTCCCACTCACGCGGTGCGTACATATGGGTAGCTACCTGCCACGCCGTCGTAGTCGTCGTCGTCGTCGTCGTTGTCCTACTCCTCGTTCTCTTCTCCTCCTGGAGGCAGCTAGACCTCAGGAGTCCTCAGGTAGACTCCTCCAGAGGCCCAAGAAGTGCCAACACCCTGGCCCGATCACTGCTAATGGCTCCTCAATCTTACTCCTTCCACCTTGCTCCTCCTTCCTCTCCCCCGCCCTCCTCTTCTCCGGGCGGCGCCGAGGCGACAGTTGTCCGATTTCACCACCGAGGAGGCGGGCGGGGAGGGGCGACGTGGGTGGGGGGGAGGACAGGGGGACGGGGAGGCGATGATCTGGATGACACCTGTGTTGGTGGTGACGACAGCGACGACGAGGCCAATGCTGTTGATGATGCTGATGAGGATGATGGTTGTGCTGATGATATTGTTGATGATGCTGATGTTGTTGATGATGCTGATGTTGATGATAAGGAGGAGGAGGATTAATATGATGAGATTGATGAGGATGATGGTGACGATGATGAAGACGATGACGCTGACGATGACGATGCTGATGCGTCTGCCGATGATATTGATGATGGTGGTGGTTGTGAGGATGAGGATTGCGATGATTATGAGGTGGATGATGTTCATGCTGGTAATAAGGATGAATATCACGGTCACGATATTGATGCTGATGTTGAGGCTGATGTTGCTGATGTTGACAGTGACGATGATGATGACGGTGGTGATGATGATGATGATAATGATGATGACGATGATGATGTCGATGCCGACTACGTCGATGATTACCATTGTTGTGGTGGTTGTGCTGGTGGATACGACGATGTTGATGCTGATGATGGTGATGGTGATGATGATGACGATGCGTGCGATGATGATGCCGATGATGATGATGTTGATGTTGATGCTGATGCTGATGATGATCATGATGATGATGCTGTTCATGATGGTCATGACGATGATCTTGATGTTGATGTGGTCGGTGATGCTGCCTACAATGATGACGATGGTTATGACGGCGATGGTGATGCTGCTGCTGCTGATGAGGAGGAGGAGGAAGAGGATGAGATGGATCGACGCCAGTCGTCGCGGACGTTTGACTCTATGCGACCGTTCGCTGCGCCCGCCACGAGGTGGGCCCGCCGCTGATGAGAAGGAGCAGGTGTACAGTACAGGAGTGCGAGGGTCGGTCTTAGCGGTATTGCGAGAGCACGGGAAGAGGACGAGGCGGCGACTGGCGACGAGACCCCGCGGCGACGCCGGCGGCCAGCACCCAAGCCGGCGCGGACGGTGGCGGCGGCGGAGGCGCCCATAGGCGCGGCGCCGCAGCGGCCAGGCAAGGGCGGCCTGCGGCACAGGCGGCCCGCAACCAGAGCGCGCGGCCGTGCTGTGGTCAACGGGGCGTCGACGGACGGCAGGTTCACGTCGCGATGACGCCAGCGTCGTTGATCTCTGAAGCCACGCGGGTCGTTCGACCTTCAGCGATCGCGACTCTCCGTTCGACATCCGCCGATTCTGGGCCTCTCTGACGGCGTTCGATCCTGGCCGCGCGTTCTGAGCGCCCTAGGGGTCCCATCAAACTCGGGACCCCCCCGGGGTCGCGCAGGAGTGGGAGGAGAGCTCACAGCATGGCTCGGAGAGTCCATGCGGGGCCAACGCCTTGTCAAAGCGGTCGCCCGCTAGCTGAACAGGAGTCCCCGTCATTGCTGAGTAGGGGAGGTGCAGGGGGAGGTGCAGGATGCGAGTGTCGGTATGAGCGGGATTGAGAGAGGAGCAGCAGGAGATGCAGCCGGGTGAGCGGGAGTGTCGGTGCCTCTCCCGCTCTCAGGTGATACGCCTCTCCAACAGCCTGGTGCGGATGGGCGGCATCGACAACACCAGGCCACGGGCGAACTCGACGACGACGACGAAGGCGATTTCGAAGTCGACGACGACACTGACAACGACGGCGACGGCAGCCGCGACGGCGATGGCGATGCACTCGGCGGCGACGGCGAATTCGACGACGGCGGCGTCGAACTCTACAACAACGACGAATCGACGACATGGTGGCCAGAGAATTGCCCCAATCAGTGGTTGTTGTTTAGTGTGTATAGCTGATGCTGACGAGCATGATGACACTGACGATCCAGTAGCAACCCCGACCAGCACGAGTGTACAAGGTCGTTGGAAACACATGGCGTGGTCAATCTGGGCGAGAGATGTGTGCACATGTGGCCGCGTATATTCTTAGCGCTCGGCGCTTGTAATGTCAGGCGTGCCGACCCTTCGCGTCACCTCTCCTAATTCCAGATATCTGACATGTTTTCTCAGTTTCACCAACACGTAGCCCTGTGCCAGAGCTCTCGACCCCTTGCCCAGGACTGCTCGACCGTCCTGGTTCGTTTTTGTCCACTGTCCTGGGACCAGAGAAAAACGGCCATTCGGGGAAAAAACACCGCTGACATTGATACCGTCACGACGTCGTAGGTCTGACAACGTTGCGGGTTCCGGATGTCTCTGGAAGTCTCTGGAGACCCGCCGCATGCGTATACGCAGGCACAAGAGGCCCAGAAAGGCCCGAGCATGTCAAGAAATGTTGAGCTTCACAAGAGCGTCAAGAGACCTCGATCCTCTAAGATGCCACCGCTGGCAAGTTGAAGTGAGAATCGGCGCTGGTAGATCCTCGGTCGAAAACTGGCCTGATCTGGCTAATCCCGCTTAGTCCTGTTTCATCCTGCTGAATCCGGCTTGATCCAGTTCAATCCGGCGTGATCACGGACTTGATCCAGCCTCGTCAGGCTCAATGGCCTCCTCATCGTGCCTCCTAAGAGCCTCGAAGCTCGAACCTCTGACCTGCCTCTCCTCCGCGGCTTCCCGAGGAACGCCGGCCTGTTCTTCGCGCCTCCGCCCGGCCGTCGCCGTAGTTGCCGACCTCGCGCGCGCGCGTGCACGGGCCGCGCCCGTGCGACCTCGCTTCGGCTGCACGTCAGAGTGAACGTTCGCCGGGCTTCGGGAGGGAAGAAGAGCATCGGCGACTGCAAAGGGTGTGGTTACGCCACCGTGTGGCTTGCGATCTGCGTCGTTGGGGCCTGGGGGGCACCACGTTGCCCTCGTCGGGCCATCGGGCCGCGGCGGGAAGCTCCGTCGAGGTCCTCGCCCGCCCTTTGCAAACCACACCCTTTGCAACGCGAGGGTATCAATGACACGTTGCCGCCGGAAACCCGTCAGCGTGTTGTGCTCTCTCGTTTCTGTCTGCGGCCTGGTGTCTCTTCAGCAGGTATCTCGCTGGTGGGTTCCCCACGGCGGCGTGTCATTGCTACTGGTTTTGCTCCCCGAAGGGCGACCTCCGGTGCGCGGCTTCGGGGGGGGGGCCGGGCGCGCCCGGGCCGAGTCCAAGCACGCAGGCGGCTGCGGAAGTGCTGCCGCATCGCATGCAGCGGCTGGCCGGCCAGCGCACCAGATTTGTGCGAGGCAGACGAATTGAGTCGATCTCGCCGACATTGGCGCGTAGTTCAGCTTCCCACGTAAGGTCGCGCGTAAACGCCCTCATCTCCGCGTGGTGTGCGACGCTGGCGGCCCGCGTAAACCATCGCGCGTGTGAGGTATCTGTGCCACCTCGCGTAAGAGGCTTCTTTCCGTCGCCCAAGTACTTCTCTTGACTAGGGTCACTCCTGCGCGTAGCCGATTGACGGGGCCCTCCTTTCTTCCAGGTTTGATGGTCAAGGACCGAGGCATGAGGATACAGATCTTTGTGGTTGATCACCCCCTGTCGGCCTCCTGGAACTTCCAAGTTACGGTCGGCGCGACTGTTTTGGCAATTCCCAATGCTCGCATGTTCCAGGTTGCGCTTCTCACTCCTCATCGCGCCGTTCCGCCTTTGTTTGCCTTGCTGCACCTGTATGTGGTCTAGCCAGCATAGTTGTAGGGTTCAAGCGCCAAGCGCGCCTGGGTCTCGCGTCCGTTGGACTGCGCAATCGGAATCACCGCCATACATGATGCCTCTTCGGCGTCGACGCCATCGTCGTCATCATCATAATCATCGTCAGTATCATCATCATCATCATCATCATCATCATCATCATCATCATCAGCATCATCATCATCATCAAGTTAGTCATCATCACCAGCATCAGCATCAGCATCAGCATCATCACCATCATCATCATCATCATCATCATCATCATCATCATCATCGCCGTCATCATCATTATAATATGTAACCAATTTGGCTTAAGTTCGAAACGTGCGGCCTGGCGCTTCGAGCTTTGACGCAGCCAATGGCCTGGCTCGAGAGCGCCACACTTATCTTGTTCAGTGTGCGAACACCAGTCTCCCTCTCAGATATGTTGCTGCTATGGCTCTTGGTGTTGCCCCGGTCAAGCAGATGATTTCTGGGCGCCTTAGCTCGGCTAGCAGCCTGCTCGGTCAGAAGCTGTCCGCGATCAACGTGACGGTTACCGCCCAAGGTCGTGAGATCAAGGACATGTCCGAGTCAGACAATAATGAATCCGTCTGCCAGAAGCAGGATGTTGTGCAGGCTCGTTTGGATGCTCGCGAGACTGCGAACCAGTCTTTCGTCTCGAAGGTGCCCTCCTCTCACGTTCTTCCTGGGATGGTTGGGAAATGTGCGGTGGAGTCGATAGGGAAGAGCAGTATTTTGGGGGGTCGAAAGCACGCAGATGAAGGATGCCCAGCGGATGCTCGTTCAAACACAGGCTCATGGCATCGTGTTTTGAGCGTGTGGCAAATCAGATCACCTTGAAATGTGCGACAGGGCAGACAGGAACCCCGATCAGTGCTCGTGCGTATCATCTCCAGAAGAAGGTGACTTTGGGCCTCCCGTCGTCTAGAACGGCCTCGGAATTCCCCGACGATTTTGGGAAGATGAACAACACCTTCTCCATGCAGGACACCAGGGGCGCACGGGATCTGCGGCCTCTGCGTGTTCGGCGCAATCTGTCCCCTCACCATCGGCTTCTCTTCTTCAGAATGGGGAAGGTTCGGCATGCCCTTCGGAAAGACAGGAACAAGGTAGGCCTCCAAACTAATTCGAATGGGGTCGGGAGTGACGTGTTCGCGCTTCGTTCGAAGGAAGACGCGTATCCGCAGGTACTTCGCATGTCAGTTGATGAAGAGGGCCTGACGGCTCCTGTTCTCGAAGTCTCCCGTGCTCAGTCTGAGGCTCCGTACGATACGGCCACATCGCGTCCTTTTTGAGACTGACAGTGACGGGTTAGATTGCTCGCGCGATAATGTTGAGGCCATTGATTCAGTTGTGACTCGTGGGGGCATTTGCAAGGGTTGTTTTACTGTAGGCAATTGTTCTTCTAGCGTTGCCGATTCGAAGTCGAGCCAGTCGAGCAGCTCGTCTTGTGGTGGAGGGGGCCGCCCTTTTGAAGTGTCTGCAGTTGCCTTCAGATGCAAAGCGGCCCACTGTTCTCTGTATTCACGAGGCTCATAGCACGGTCGGCGATGCGAAAGTGACCCAGCATGATTTGCAAGGCACAGCTGCGGGGTTCCCAGGGCGTGGCGCTGATATCGCTGGGGTCCTGAATGTTCTCTCTGCGGGCCTCCTGTCGGATGCCGAACACGTGCCGATTGTTCCTGGCAAAATTCTTCGGACGCAATGCTGCGGACCCCATGGGGCTCTCTGGGCGCGGAAAGCGCATGACCCTACCTCCAGCGAGCCTGCTTGGGCTTTTATCCGCGCCTTGCGGCGTATCAGGGATGATCTGGGGGGTGATCAGGATGTTTGGTGGTGGTTGCAGCCAGCTGCAATTTTACATTGGAGCAGGGCGGGGGGCACTGCGCCGACGGCTCTGGCTGGCGCCCCGGGGGGTCGCCACCGGCACGAGCTGTTTTCGAGTTTCTTTCTCCAGCCCTCCTCGATTGGGCATCCGTTTTGTCTGGAGCACTGTGGTCGCGCCCCTTTCTCCTCCCGCCTCCTCCTGCCCCCCTCTTGTCCGCCTCCCTCTTGTTTCCTTTTGTCTTGTGCGCACCTCTTGTGCATGCATCTTGCTTGCGGTGCCAAGTGTGCGCGCATTCTGCCTGGGGGGTGTGCGATCTGCGACGCCGTCGCCACTTTCGAGGGCTGCTGGGAGGGCCATAGCGGGCACCCGTAGCGGATCGAAATTCTACCTCGCCATCATTGGGGGGGGGGCTGCGATTTGCGAAAGTGTCGCCACGTTCGAGGGCTGCTGGCGGGGCCAGCATAGTGGGTGCCCGCCGCGGATCCAAAGTAGACCTCGCCATCCTTGGGGTTGCGATCTGCGAAACTGTCGCGACTTTCGAGGGTTAATGGGAGGATCAGCGTAGTGGGTACCCGCCGCGGATCCAAAGTAGACCTCGCCGTTCTTGGGGCGGGGGGGGGGCGATTTGCGAAACAGTCGCCATTTTCGAGGGGCTGCTAGGGGGGCCAGCATAGCGGGTGCCCGCCGCAGATCCAACTTCAATATGACCATCGCTGGGTGGCTGCGATCTGCGCAACCGTCGTCGCATGCGAGGGCTGCTGGGAGGGCCAGCGTAGTGGGCCAGCCGCGTATCCAAAGTAGACCTCGCCATCCCCGGGGGGTCGAGATCTGCTACGCTGTCGCCGCTTTCGAGGGCTGCTGGTGAGGCCCGCATAATGAGCGCCCGCCGCGGGTTTACACTAGACCTCGCCATCCCTGGGGGGCTGCGACTTGCGAAACTGTCGCCAAGTTCGATGGCTGTTTTGGGGGGGGGGTCAGCATAGCGGGTGCCCGCCGCGGATCCAACTAGGCCTCGCCATCCCTGGGGGGGGGGGCTGCGATCTGCGAAACGGTCGCCACTTTCGAGGGCTGTTGGGGGGCCCAGCATGGGCGGTACCCGCCGCGGATCCAAAGTAGACCTCGCCATCGCTGGGGGGGGGTGCGACCTGCGCAATGGTCGCCACTTCCGAGGGTTGCTCGGAGGGGCCACCATAGTGGGTGCCAACCGCGTATCCAAAGTAGACCCCGCCATCCCTGGGGGGGCTGCGATATGCGAAACTGTCGCAACTTTCGAGGGCTGCTAGGGGGGCCAGCATAGTGGGTGCCCGCCGCGGATCCAAAGTAGACCTCGCCATCCCTGGGGGGACTGCGATCTGCGCAACCGTCGCCACTTTCCAGAGCTGTTGGGAGGGCCAGCATAGTGAGCACCCGCCGCGGATCCACACGAGACCTCGCCATCCCTGGGGGGGTGCGATCTGCGACGCTGTCGCCACTTTCGAGGGCTGCTGAGGGGGCCAGCATAGCGATCTGCAAAACTGCCACCAGTTTCGAGGGGGAGGGTTCAGCGGAGTGAGGCACCGCGCAGATCTGAGCGAGACCCCGTCGTCCCTGGGGGGCTGCGACCTGCGAAACCGTCGTCACTTTCAAGGGCTGCTGGCGGGTCCAGCGGATTGAGACACCGCGCAGATTTGAGCGGAACCTCGCCGTCCTTGGGGCTGCGATCTGCGAAATCGTTGCTATTTTCGAGGCTGGTGGCGGGTCCAGCGGAGTGAGGCACCGCGCAGATCTGAGTGCGACCTCGCAATCCCTGGGGGGTAGCGAGCCTCGCGAATGCCGCTCGCAGAAGTATATAGGCCCATGTCACGCCATCACCTCCATAGAACGTCTCCCAATCTACTCATGCCCCGCATTGCGCAGGGGATCTGGTACGTCACCACCAGAGTAATGTTCCCCAGTGGACTGAGCTCCACCTGCCCTGCTTGGCGATTCGTTGAGTGACGCACATTGGTGAGCTGGTTCATTCTCAGTCGCCTGGATAGGCAGCATCCCATCAATCCCTTTCCGATCCTTGCTGGAGTCGCGATGTTCTGCGCCCTGATGGGTGGCCATTCTCTTTCGGAATGTATCTGACCAGATTCCCGTGATTGCCGCGTGTCGTAAATGCGTCCCGTCTGAGTTCCGCAGAGTTCTTCTTGGGTTGGGTCCAATCCGACCTTTCATGCTGAACTAGAACACCTCTTGTCTGGGATGGATCGCCCTGCCCTGATCGTCGAGCAGGTCGCTCTGGTTAAGCAGTGCACGCGGGGGACGCGCGCACGGGCGTGCAAGCGCATGGGGGCGGCATCGGGAAACCAGGTCGACGGGAAGCTGCGTTTTTCTGGCCGCTTTGAGCGCGTTGTGCGCGCTGCCTCTTGCGGCTCTGAGCAGGCTCGCTTCTTTGGCGCCGACGCCTGCGCCTGCCGCTCGCCGCCTCTCCTGCGCGATCCCATTCAGACGTTCCAGAGAGCCTGGGTTCGGGACCTTGGCTCCGATGGGGGGCCCAACGGTCTCCGCGGACCTCGCGGGCGAGCCTCTTGCCGGCCGTTTTTTTGGTGGGGGAGGATGATGTCTTGGGGCGCGAAACTGTGATTTCTCTGTCTGGCCCGACTTGGAAGCTTGTGTTTTGCCGTATCTGGGCGCCTCGGACGACAGATGGCGATGACCGCTGGGGATTTTGAACAGAGGGTGCGCGCGCGATCTGGCTCCGCGCCCAGCCTCGACGGCATTGTGCACTCACGTTGGGAGAGCGCTCTCCTCCAGATATTTTGCGAGACCGGCGCCTGCATCTGCTGGGGGCGCGGGGGCGAGGGCCCCCCGGGAACGCGCGGGGCATGCGGCTAGTTTTCCTGCCGAGGGCGATCGTGCCAGCGATCTCGCATCAAGTTCCTTCTCGCGCCCGCGTCGCTTGCCGCCCCTTGGCTCTGGTTCTCCTGGAGATTCGAGCGGCGCGCGCGCGAGGCTGTCTCAAAGGCCCAGGCGTGTCTGACGGGGAGTTCGATGATCGATTAGACTCTGGAGGCTGAAGCGTGGGGCGTTCAAAGTTGCATGCTTGGTCGGAGCGTGTCCCGCGTTTCCCGCGGACTTCGCTGCGGCGTTTCCGAGCGTCGCTGTCTCTGTGTTTGTTTCGAGTCTTGGCCCCGATGCAGATCCATCCTGGTGGCAAGCGGCGCCGTGAGATTCGTCTCTTGAGGATCGTCATGCACGGCGACCCGTCCAGCATGTTTCTCTTTGCCATCGCTCTGGGGCCCGGTATCCGTTGGGTGGCCATTCGCATTCCGCGCCAGATTTTGGGGCACGCTGATGATCTATGGTTGGGGCCTCGCAATCTAATCGCTGACTTGCCACTGATGCTGCCACTGCTTCAACGCTTGGTCGGGGGGCACTGGGCCGCGCCTGAACTTGGGGAGGCGCGTTTCTGATGCGTTGCGGGCAGGAACTCTCTCCGCGGACTCGCCGTCGGATCAGCCGGGCGTTTGCTCCGCGTGGCCCGGGGGCGTTCGATTCAACTCGTGCGACGCACTCGGTATTAGACATTCAGATCGGCCCTGGCGCTGGGCGGCGCGCTCGGGGTGCTGCCCCGAAGAAATCACCGGCGTCGCGTTGAGATTCGTCGGCTCCGCTTGGGTCTCGCAATGTCGATTCGAATGTGCGCGGTCCTTGCTGCGTCGGTGCTTCGGTCCGCGATGCAATCCTCTACCCCGCCTCGAAGGAGGTCCTGCGTTGCGACGGGAACGCGGCTCAGAAATTGATGGGTGGACCTGGATTTTCTTTTGGTCTGCATGACGCGGGCTTGCCCGTCGAGTTTCTCGATCTGGCTCGCGTCGGAGAAACGACTCGGGTTCGTCTCGCTCACTCGTCTGCAGCGCCTGGCAATTGTCGCGTGCCCATGGGTAATCTGCTGGCACAAGATGACTTCCACCCACCCTGCTCGCGCGGCGTCGACGCGGCGGCCGAAGACGCGCAACCGATTCATTGCTGGCGCGCGGGAGACTCACAAACCCATTCCCGCGCTTTTCTGGCAGGCTGCGGGGTTTCAGAAGAAACTCGCTGCCCGTCTCTGTGCTGCGTCTGCCCCGACTCCTCCCCTTCGTTGTTTGCTGGGAAGCGTCCAGCGTTGGATCCCTGGGGCCACGGCTTCCCTGATTTCTTGGGCTGTCCACTGTATCCGACCGGTTGCTTCTGCAGGTTCCTGCTACTGAGGCTTGGCGGCACTTCGAATCTTGTCTCGCGGGGTGCGCGCATGTGCGAGCTTCCATCGTGGACAAGAAGTTGACGCTGGCATTGGGGGGCGCCGCGGGGCCCCACTCGGTTTGCTTTGAATTTCGCCCCTTGTTTTGCATTTTTTTTTGGGGGGGGCGAAGAGTCCTGGCTGGGCGAAGAGTCGTGGCTCTTGCATTTGACCCCGTTGGCCCCCCACCATGTCCTCCGCGGAAGGCTCGCAGGTCGCCCCTCATGATCTTTTGAAGGCTCGCGTCCGTCTCCTGTGCCGTAGGCGCAAGAAAATGCAACCGCCTGGCTCGACACCAGGAGTGGGTGACGGTTGCGGCACTTGTTTTTCTACGAGATATCCGCCCTTGGGCCGTTGACAGTTCAGTGCCTGCGCGGTGCAGGTTACGGATGCTAATCCTTCTCCTTCCTTGCCCTTGTTGCCGTCGTTCCCCTTCCTGGTCTCTGTTGCCCCCCTCGCTTCCCTCGCTTATTTTGTTCTCTCAGCGTGCATGCGCGCTCTCTTCGCTCTCTGGCGGCCTTCGAGCAGGTGTATAGGTTCCCCGAAAGTTTTCAGCTCCCTCTGCGTCGATGGATCAGTCGGCAAGCAGGAGGCTGCTCATCGGCCCGTGCGTGGATGCGACAAGACACGCTCGGGGTTCGCATTGGCATCCGCCTGTTTTTGCGATGCCTGCGTGGCGCAGGTTACCTCTGCCCGCCCCTCTCTATCGTTGGCTGGGGCCGACGGGGTCGAACGGGTCGCTGGCTTAGTGTCTAATAATCTTATTTGTATCGCTCATTTAAGACTGGTGTTCGCATGCTGGTTTTAGTTGTTGTTGCATTCACTGTCTGGACCAATGGATTGTTAACCAGTCCTTACCATCGGTCCCATGGCGAATAATTATCATCGCCATCATCGTCACCCTCATATGTTTGATCATCATCACCATCAGCATCATCATCTTCATCCTCGTTATCATCATCATCATCATCATCATCATCATCATCATCATCATCATCATCATCATCATCATCGACTTGACCCTGATCGTTATCGCCATAGGGGGGTCCATTGCCTAGCGTGTCGAGCGATGGCGTCATTGGGAAGGTGCGATCATCTTCCTTGTCACGGTAGGTTCTGGCCGCGACGACGCGGCGACGATTCCGGCGCGGGTGGTCGATGTTGAATTCTGGATTCGTCCAGCATCGGTCGATTTGCGCTCTCGGAAATCTGTGATCTGATCTCCCCAAGGCCGAACGCTGAACGTTCTACGCGGTCACGTTGGTTCCTGACCTTGCTGGCGTCGGGAACCAACGTCGACATCGATCCCCGTGGGGTCAGACACCGATGCCGACATCGGCGCGTGCGGCATCAGAGACCAACGCCGACGTCCTCGCGGCGCGAACCCGCCGTATCCGCCAACGTCACCCCCCGCGCGGTGCGGGCGGAGGAGGTTCAGAAGCGGGTGAATTTGCCCCACGTCAAGGAGTTCTTATTAGGACCGCCCCCGCGGCCTGTGCCACTCCCCTTATCCAGCCTTTCTTCCGAGAGTGAGACAACACAGAAACGTAACAAGCTGTCGGACATCCGCGCGGATCCAGCGCTTGAGCCCCCTGGCGGCGCCTCCAGCGGACTCCAGCGCCGCCCCTGGCGCGCTCAGCGCGCCATGGAGATCGAGCGCCGATACAAGAGATCCACGCGGACCTCTGAGCGTTTATGTTTCTGCATGTTTGGGGTATCCCTTTCCTCCTCCGCCTCCACCTCCGCTTCCTCTTCCTCCTCCACCTCCTCCTCCTCCTCTTCCCCCTCTTCCCCCCCTCATCCTTTTCCCCGTGTGTTGCAGCAGAGTTTGCTATCCTTGAGCTTCGCTTTGCGCCCGTCACATTGCACCGCCAGTAGCTCAGCGCCGCCTCGCCCCTCCAGTGGGCGGAAGGAAGGGGAAGCAGGGCCTGCCTGGGGCAGCTAAAGCGCGGGAGGAGGAGGAGGAGCGGGGTGATTCGCCAGGCACAGGGGGGGGGGGGGGGGGGGCGGAGGAGGAGGAGGCACAAAAGGAGCAGGGCGCTCCGCCAGGAGCAGGCGCAGGACCAGGGGCGCAAGTTCGGGCGCAGGTCGAGCACCTGCGATTCGAGGGATGCGAGATCGAGCTCGTGGGCCTGTAGTCTCTTGCATCGGCGGCGACGTCCCTTGGGGGTCTGGAGATTCTGGAGGCCGAATGCGCTCGTCGTCAGAGACTCGGCGCGGACAAGAAATCCAAGCAGTCGAAGGGGTTCGCCATAAAGACGATTTCAGGAGGTCAAGCTGCGCCTCTCCCCCCAGCGTTACCGCGGAGGCACCGTGTGAGGATCCACTCCCTGTGGCTGGCCAGGCCGCTTTGCAGAGATTGATCGACATGTGGACCCCGGTCTGGTTCGTCCAAGGCAGAGGCCCTGCCCCCAGCTCGTGGGAGGTACCCGAGAGCGAGGCCGACCCCCCTCGCTCGCACTCCCCGACTCGCAGCGAGGTTGCAGAGCCGGCGGGGCGACAGCGGGCCCAGTGCGGGGGCGATTTCAATCCGACGTGAGCTCTGCAGTTGCTGGAGTATCACCATTGTGGTTGCTCGAGATTTTGATGTTGTTCGAGGTCGAGCCTGCGTCGGTCACGATGCGCGTCGCGGGTGCGGTTCTCCTGGACATACCCACGGGAGGAATAAGGTCGATAGGGCTCATGTGTTTCTTCATGAGGAGTTGCAGTCGTACGAGACAGCCGCTGTGCAGGAGATGGGAGAAGGCGAATCAGGGCGACTTCTGGGGGATCCGGGCCTGAATCGACGCGATAACGAGCTGAGTGGGTTCGCAATTTACCAGGGCGGGCTCACTGTAAGGAGGCTGGCTTTGAGACGGCGTTGGCCTCCTGGACTTTGCTAAGTCTTACGAGCGCATTCGGCGCGATGCCCTTCTTGCTGCAGCTAAGCGTTTTCAGTTCCCTGTGCTCCTGCTGTTAGGTTATTGCGCTGTGCATAGTGGCCTCCGCGCGCTCCTCCATGCTTGGATAGCCTCGGAGGTCGCCCTGTCAAACAGCACCATCCAAGCTGGCTGCTCCGCAGCCACCGCGCGTGCCAAGCTGGTATTGCTTGGCCCGTCGTCAGAGGCAAAAGGGCACAGACAATTGTTGTACGTGCGGGTTGTTGTTGATGACATTACTCTTGAGGGTTGCGGACCGAAGCGCCAGGTGACCAGGCAGCTCGCGGGAAGAAGCATGTCGCTCGTTCGACCCCTCAAGGGCCTCAAGTTGCCAGCGGAGTTTTAATTAGTGCGCCGACCTCAGTTTCAGAGGTCGAGGCCCGCCAGCAGACCTCTGGCCCATCCCCGAGTCGCGCAAGGCAGACGCCAGCAGGCATCTCGGCACGAAAGCCACGTTGGGAGGAGTTCGTGTGCTTTGGGTCCACTGAGCCGGGTTGAGTTCGGCGACCACCAGGGCCCAGTCAGCGTGGGCCGACATCAGCATCACGCGTCGCCTCGGGCCCACGGCGTCGGCCCTTCGGGGAAACAGCGTCTCAGGAGTGGCCCCGACAAAGATGGTGGGCCCTCAGTGGGACTCAGTTTAGGATGAACACCTACGGACCCAGGAACAAAATGGACTCCCTTGTCGCCCACGTGGGCCATGTTGTGTTCATGTTGGCTATAGTTGCGTTGGAGGCGGTACCAGGCGCCTTTGTCCTGCAGAGCGCGATGGCCCAGTCCGTGCGCTAGTTTAGAGGTGTCAAGCACCCATGGCACACAGCTTCGTCACCAGCGGATGCTGCTTGTTTTTGGAGGCACCGGATGGGCCCTCCAGGGCAGTGTCAACGTTACGTTGTTGATGATTGCGGCACTCAGATCAACCTTCTGTAGCCTCCCCCGATGCGGGTCCGAGAGGTGGTTCGGTCAGGAGCTGTTCGAGATTCAGATAGCCATGCGTCAGGCCACCAGGGAGGCTCCGAAGCACCCCCCGAGCTACCCGATCTTCTGGACAGGATTCGCGAAGCCTTTGTCCAGGAAGTCTAGGACGTGGGGGAAACACTACCAGAGATGCATGGGAGGGCTGGTATCCAGTGTGCATTGGCCCTGGTTCAGATTCTGTTTGCGCGGGCCTCACCGCGAGCAATGTTGCCAGAGGTCCAGAGGTGTCGATGGGGCTCCCAGCACTCTGTGATACCGACAGCACGAGTGCCCAGCGAACGAGGTGATGGGGAGGGACCATGTCGGCGCACTGTTGGAGAGCATGCCGCGACGGTTCCGAGACTCGGGAGGTGCCGAGGTTGAGTGGTTTGTTCGAGGAGTGTTTCTTGATCCCATGAGCTCATTCGAGATCCAACCAGAGAGGGGGTTATGGTGCCAAAGGCCTGAGACGAGCCCTGTGTTGGGCTTGCGTTTCCTGATCGGGTCGGCCGAGCTCGCGGGCCCCGATGGCCTCGAGAGAGCTGCGTGGGCGATCGCTTCGGCGAGCAACAGGGGAGAAGTCCAGCAGGTTGCGCATGGACCAGTTCCTCTGAGGGTTGCCCCCGCCCGGACTAGCAACGACGGGGAAAACAATGCTGTAGATATGCTTAAGCACGTTGGTTCTCTCCCCGTTCTAGTTGCGCATAGACTGCCAGTCGACAGTGGGCTCCGTGGCCAAGGGTCCTGTGTATTCTGCTGGTCTTGGTGCGCCTCGAGTGTGCCGAGACCTTTTTGGGGCTGCTTCCAACCTGAGGACCTTGAGTTATTCAAGACCCTGGCCCAAGCGACTTCCAATGACGTCGATGCTGTCCGATCGACTCTGTTGGAGAGAAAGGCCAACGATGCAGCCGACGAGTTTGCGAAAGCTGGCGCGGACAAACACTGTGTCACGCCAGATCACGCTGATCTTTTGGAGGTTGAGTAACCTCGCGATGGAAGCAGGCATATGTGGCTGCTTCGTTCGGGGTGAGTTTCGCTTCAGTCGGGCCGAGGGGCGCGGCTGGCATGGCTGTCCCAGGCACAGGTGCAGAAGGCCCCGCCCTGCCTGAGGGGACTGCATTGGCGCCAAATGAGCAGGCCTTGTGCGATGACGCAAGGCCGCCCGATGCGATGAAGGACGCGGGGGTTGAACGACTTGGGGGGGGGACTGGGGAACCCACGCTCGGTATGCGCATCAAGTGACAGCCCGCGTTCCTCGTTGCCCATGTCATGGACTCCCGAGGAGACCCCGTCGGCAAGCTGCGTGTCTGCCGTTCGTCTTGGCCGAAGAGAATCTCCCCTGGGCGACGGCTCGGGGGGAGGCCCCGACGCGGGCCCCGACCCCACTTGGAGACGAGTCGGCCTCGGCCGCGTGCGACTTCGTCTGATCATGGATCGCTTGGCCTCAGGCCCGTCCCCGACAACCTCCTCCTCTGCCTCCCCCACCGTTTTGTCTGAGGTCTAACCCCGGCCAGAGTGGCGGCGGCCCTGGCCCCATCGCGGCGACCTCTTTGAGTCTGAGGCCGACGTGCCGCCCTCTGTTCTGATGCTTCCCAGCGGGTGCTGGGGCCTCCCTTATCTTTCCTTCCAGAGCCTATGTCTCTGGCGCTGTCTCGCCATGTTGTAGTGGCGTCCGTTCAGTCTGGTGCGTCGTTCTCCTCTGCCGTTTCGCAGCTCTCCTTTGCCGTTTTCGCGGCTATCGCAGGGCTCCCCCCCCCTGTTTCCTCCCTCCCGCCCGCCGCGGCTTCGCGCCAGAGCGGCCTGCCGCCCATCGCCCGAAGAGGAGGAGGAGGAGGAGGAGAAGGACGAGGAGGAGGAGGAGGAGGAGGAGGAGGAGGACGAGGACGAGGACGAGGAGGAGGAGGATGAGGAGGAGGAGGAGGAGATTGGAGGAGGGAAGAGGAACAGGAGGACGAGGAGGCAGGAGGAAGAGAAGGAAGGAAGCGGAGGGAGGAGGAGGAGGATGATGACCAGTGTAAACCCAAGGGTCATCAACGATGTTGGAATGAACTCTCCTTCCAAGCTTCCTCTTCACAAGCCCCTACAACGGTTCATTGCCACCGAGGGAACTGCCTCGTTGGAAGACAAGCGTTTAACTATCCTGACCCACTCCAAAACATTGTTTTCGGGGTTCCAACGCCGCGGATCAACCTGACTTGTGCGTCTCGACGATCCTGAGTCGCGCCAGAACGCCTCTCCTTGGATTTCAACACCGCGAACCAACGTAATTGATGCACCCTCAAAATCCTGAACCCTTCCAAAACACCATATTTGGTATGCTGATCATGGGAACCCGTGAAACTCTGTCAAATGTTGAACATGATTGTGCGCGGCGGTGCCAAGGCGAGAGCCACATGTTGAAAAGGAACCGCCCTCAACCCGTGAAACTCTTGCACCTTTTTGAAGCGAATGTACGCGGCGCTAAGGCGAGAACCACATTTTGAAAACGGGTCGCCCTCAGTCCGTGAAGTTCTTGCATCTTATAAACAAGCAACGATTGTACGCGACACTAAGGCGAGAGCCGCATGTTGACAAACCACCCGCCCTGCATATTTGAAATTGCTGCCAATCTCTAAACTTCAGGGTCATAAGTGGTGAGGAAGTCTTAGGCGACGCACCCGGCCCGCCCGAAAGACTGGCATCGGGGTGCGACAGGAAGAATTCATTTATACGGAAACAATGAATTGAGGAGGTGGAGGCGGAGGAGGACGAGGAGGAGCAGCAGGAGGAGGCGGAAAAGGAGGAGGCGGAGGAGGACGAGGAGGAGGAGGAGGAAGAGGAGGAGGCAGAGGAGGAGGAGGAGGAGGAGGAGGAGGAGGTGGAGGAGGGCGAGGAGGACGAGGAGGATTAGGAGGCGGAAGCGGAGGTTGAGGCGGAGGTGGAGGAGGAGGATAATGACGATGAAGGAGAGGAGGAGGAGGAGGACGAGGAGGAGGAGGGGGAGGGGGAGGCGGAGGAGGACGACGACGAGGGGAGGAGGAGGAGGAGCAGGAGGAGGAGGAGGAGGAGGAGGAGGAGGAGGAGCAGGAGGAGGAGGAGGAGGAGGAGGAGGAGGAGGAGGAGGAGAGGGAGGAGGAGGAGGAGGAGAAGGCGGAGGCGTAGGCGGAGGAGGAGGAAGAGGAGGAGGAGGAGGAGGAGGAGTGAGTGAGTGAGTGAGAACAGTCGCGAAGCGAAGATTCGAAAACATACGCCCCCCCCTGGACTTGTCTAAGAGCACGACGGACAGGTAGGAGACGCACTTCATTCCGTACAGCTTTCAGAAAAGAAGCCCGTGGAACACCGAGGCGATACCGCAGATGGGTCCCTCCCAAACATTTGACAGTCGGTTCATCCCTTCAACACCACCAGACAAGATACAGAGGAAGTTGAAATAATGCCAAAAGCCACCTTGATACAAATAAGCTGAACCGAAGCAAACTCGATACGGCCCACTACAGCAAACTGGTCATCGGGCAACCCTGACGGTTCGTTTACACCGAAAACAGCCTCATTGCATTCAAGGAAAAAGCCCCCAGCGCTTGCAATAACTGACCACCACTCGCAGCACCATGTGAAAAAGAGAACAGTAAGAGGCACAATCCCAGCAACGCTGAAGAACTATGTCGCCTTCCGTACCCTCCCTACGCGGATTTGGGAGATAGCAGAACTGTAAATGATGGGATCTGGATGCCATTGCTACCAGCAAACGCCCGGAGCCAGCGAAAGAGGATACCCCCCCGTGCGGCCCTTGGGGATGGCTGAAGTGTAAATGACGAAACCAGAGCCCGCCCAGCATGGGGGAGCTTGAAAAACACGTGCGGGACAAGGAAGAACGGGAAGACGGCCAGACAGAAAGTGGACACGACCCGATCTGAGCCCGACAGGTACGTCGCTCCCGTGAACAGCATGGGCGCCAAAAACAAAAATTGTTAGCCTGGCGATCAAACCTCTTGTTTTAGTCAGCACCAGCAAGTACAGTGACGAGTACTCTGGGTGCGGTCCCCCAAGCACCGACGCGGAGGCACAAGAGGACGGCTGCATGGCGAGTTGGAGCCAAAACAGGCTACACCCCCCCGCGCCCGCGGTTGCTTGAGGGGGGGGAGGAGGAGGAGGAGGAGGAGGAGGAGGAGGAGGAGGAGGAGGAGGAGGAGGAGGAGGACTAGGAGGAGGACGAGGAGGAGGACGAGGAGGAGGAGGAGGAGGAGGAGGAGGAGGAGGAGGAGGGGGGGAGGAGGAGGAGGAGGAGGAGGATGGAGGAGGAGGGCTCCGCCCTGCCCCCCCAGAAGCGCTGAACCGCGACGGCCGCTACTACCAGGAGGCGTCCGAGGCTGGACGCCTCGGCTGCCGCGCTCCCGGCGTCCATCGTCGTCGTCGTCGCCGTCGTCGTCGTCGGCGGCGGCGGCGGCGGTGGCGGCGGCGGGGAGGCGTCGGCGTCGGCGCTGGCGCCGGCGTCGTCGCGTTGGGGGTGTCGGAACCCCTTCTGAAGACCGCCGCAGGACCTCGAATGCGTCCGGATGCCACCGGAGGGACATCGGCATTCAGCATCTTTCCAGAGGCCTCCGCGGAGGCTCCCATAGACTTCCAGAGAATGGACACGGCGGCCGCCGCCGCCGTAGTCGTCCTCGTCATCGCCGTCGATCTCAATCGTCGCCATCGGTCGTCGGCGTCGGCGCAGGCGACGTCGGCATTGTCGTCGCCGTCGATCACTCGTCGTCGTCATCGATCCTCGTCGGCGTCTGCGCCAGTGTCGATGACGATCGTCAATCGTTTTTGTCGCCGCCGTCGATCGCCGTCGCGGCGGCGTCGATCGCCGTCGGCGTCCGCGCTGGCGTCGGCTTCGATCGTCCATGGTCGTCGTCGTTGCCGCCGTCGATCGTCGTCATCGTCGGCGTGTGTCCTCTTCGGCGTCGTCATCGCCGTCGACATCGTCGTCGTTTTCGACGAGGGCGCTCACCAGGGGGGAGGGTTGCTGCGAGGAGCCTTGTGGCACTGGCCGCCCCAGAGTTCTCTTCGGGAGAGGCGCCTTCCCCCTCCTGCCTCTCTTCTCCCCCTTTCGTCCCTCCCCCTGATATCCCGTCTCATCTCTCTTTATCCCCCTTCTCTTCGCCCTCCTCCTCCTTCCCCCCCTCCTCGTCCTCCTCCCTGCCTCTCCTGCCCCACCCCATGCCTCCCCGCTTTCCCACTAACGGGGGGCCCCTCCTCCTCCTCTGCTGCCTCTCCCCGCCTCCCTCCCTTACCCGCTCCGTTTTCTGTACCTCCCCCCTTCCCACCTTCATCATCCGTACATACCTCTTCCCCCCCTATCCCCCATCCTTCCCCAGCCCATTCTCCACAGAGCCAGCCCAGGGGCTGCTTCTGGAATGTGTCCTGACCCGGATTTCGTGGCACATCTGGCTGTGGCTATCAAGTAACATCCTCGCTGGGCATTCCCTTGCCGGGCTCGGCGAGAGGCAAGAATGCTTAATCAGGGGAGTCTTTTTGACTGCCCCCCCGTAGACCGAACATAGCGGAATGACATGCGCCAGCGTTCCCCAAACAGTTAGATGCTGTACTGCAACTTACATGTGAAAGTTGTGTGGTGTACTGTTCGCACGAGAGGGGAGCGCGGCCTCCACGGCGGGGCCGCCTTCGCCAGCCCGCACGCGCCAGGCGATTCCTTGAGCGTTGTCGCTTCCGACGAGAGGTCGCCGAATGGATGTTGGCGCGGCGGGCGGCCCCGCCTGTGTGCGCCACTTTGAAGTGGGATGTGTTGCCTTGGGGAGTTCGGGAGAGGTCTCGAGCTTCGGAGTGGATCTATCCGAGGTGATGCCGCCTGTTTATGTTATGGGTGGCCCCTACAGTGCGAACATCCGAACGAATATCAATACGACCTGTGCGGGCCGGGCTCTCGTCCGCAGCCGGGGTCCATGGGGGGGGGGCTCTGGGGGGGGTTCATGACGCCGGCGAGGGTGATCAGCTGGTGGGCGAAAGCGATGAGGATTGAGCCGCCGCCGAGCATTCCCAGGAGTTTGGGAACCTAGAAAAGGATGAGCTCGAGGATGCCGAGAAAAGGGTTCACAGCCAAGACTGTCGTTCAGAAGGTTCTACAGACCAAAGGGAAGGACCTGGGGTTTTCGTGGCGATGTACCTTTTCGCGGGCCCACGACGCCTTGGGGATGGGGGGGAGTAACTGAAGGCCCCGGCAGCCGACCACGACGTGCAACTCTTGGTCCCCTCACGCGACCTGACCCAGGATCCCCTGCGGTGCCTCGCGATTCCAGAGACCTTCCAGAAGCTGTGGGGCCTCGTGAAGCTGGGCTGTCGGCACCTGGTCCAGGGCCCGTTTTGTCGTCAAGTTTCTGGGGGGCCCGAGGTCGCTCTGGTTTCGGGGCGAGCGCGCCTGGGGCCGCCCAGAGGGGGAACTCACAGGTCCGGACAAGGCCCGATTCCAGGAGCCTAAACTTTCTGCGCGGACCGAGAACCTCGGGGAATATCCATCTCGCCCAAGTCACAGCGCGACTGCGATGCGCACCATGGAAGAGCTCGCGGGCGCCGTGTGAGCTAGCCTCGATCAGCGCATCAGTGCCATGGAAAGCCGCGACGCGCCATGCGCCGCCGACGGACCGCGGGAAAGAGAGCGCCGCTGTGACGGAAAAAGCAGGCATCAGAGGAGTATTATCGGACACTTACCAGGGGAGGAGGGCGGAGTTCGCTACTACACGGCAGGCCACCGACCCTGGATGCCCCAGCCGCTGCCTGGCGCCGCGCGCGATGCGGAGTCTTCGTCGCGGGCAATGAGGGAGCGGCCCACCGACTGCCGATGCCCCAGAGGTCTTTTCAGCTACGCGTTCGCATCAGTGGTCTCGGGCCAGCAGTCGGCGGAGCGGAAGCGGGCTCCGCGAGCTCAGCGAGGAAAGCGCCAATCTGCAATAACGCCCGCCCAGACCAGCGCGAGATCGGTTACAATTCGCACGTCGGTGACGGCCTCTGGACGTCTCGCGGGGCCGACCGCGTAGGATCCGCGGAGGCCGCCGATTTCTCTGCGCGCGAGTTTGTCCGGATCGTGTTCGGGGTCGCCGATCGCAGTCAATCTTGGGCGATGGATCAGGTCCTGGGCCACAAGGTTCAGGTGCTCCCCGCCAGGCTCAGGCCCCCTGCCAGGAAGGCCGCCGCCCTGCACGAGGCCATGCCCTTCCTGGAGCAGCGCCCGCGGCCCCCCCCTGGATGCCGCGTCGTCGCTTGTCAGCGTTTGGTTCGGGGCTGCCTTGTTGGCCCGACGTTGGCTTTCGGCCCCATCGGCGCATCTCCCGCTTCGCCCGTCGAAGTGAAGGTCCAGGCGCGCCGCGAGGCAACCGCCGCTGGCGCCCCAGCGCCCGAAGGGAGTGGAAAGTGATGAGGCGCAGCCCGAAGCGGCTCCACGCGGACGCCAGAGGGGGCACATCGAACGTGGATCCCACGCCGCGGACGCCAATGGGTCGAGCGGCCTCGACTGCGAGGGATGACTATTGCCTCGCCGTCACCATCATGTCAGACCAGGGGGCCAGGTCGATCAGGGGGCCAGGTTGCCATGGGAGTCAGGGGCCAGGCCAGGCCCCGCGCGGGCCCGCTCGGGGCACGAGAAAACGGCCCTCCACAGGGCGGCTTGGCCTCCAGCAGGTCAGATAAATCCCGAAGGAGATATCTGGGGTGTGAACAGGTCCTGGGCCCAGGAGCTGCAGGAATGTGGATGTGGGAGGAGCGTGCCCCCATCGAGGAAATGTGGGTGGTCGTTCTGTTGGCGGAGAGGGTTGTCCTGGTCGATGGGGTTCTTCCGATCCAAGATCATCTCCATGGGCGACAATGCGCCACGCTTGCGTGCCATTGCCATGGGGGGATCGCCCACCTGCCCCCTCTACTACCTACTTCGCCGGCAATTTGCCTTCTGTGTTGCCGCGAGGATGCGCCCGCTGATGCCCCGAGTCGAAACGCGGCGCGCGCTTTCCGACTGGGCCCCCAGGCAGGACGTGGCAGGAGGTGCTAGGAAAGGCAGCTGGGGGGGGCCCGATCGACCAGGAAGAGAGGCTTCGGATCGCCCTGACATGACCGAAGCGCACGAGGAGGGCCGAGTCACGGCCACCGCCGGAGGCGGCGGCTGCTTGTGTCGCACGGCGTGAAAAGGGGGGGGGGGGGGGCGCCACCCCCGACGAGCGGGGCAGCACTATCGTGGATTTCAGGAGTTTCGGCTGCTCGGCTAAATCGGGCAAGGGGGCCATGCGCAAACCCAAGTTCACCCTGCTCGTGGTTGCGATCGAGTTCCGGGCCCGCGCGTGAAGGGGTGGTCGCGCCGTGCGCGGGCGGCCTTCAAAGGCTGGAACTTCGAGCACCAGCCACGACGCGCCGTCCCCATGATCAGTGCGGTGTGTGCGTGCGTGGATGAGTATCCTCTGCCAGGGGCACAGCGCGTCTGGCGTTTGGCATCGTGCTCCAGGGGCGCATCGGGATGGAGCCCAGGAAGATGCTCGGCGTGGAGTCGGGAGACATCACTCCCCAGGGGACTGGCGCTATCCGAGGGGCTCGGGGCCCGTCGTGCTTGGTCTGGCGATCAGGGCCGCGACGAAAGCCGCGCGCCCGCAGTCCGCGTCTTCCCAGGAGGAGGAAGATCGGGGCCTCGCCAATGTCCTCAGGTCGCTCCGCCGTGCCAGGCCCCTGGCCTGCTGCCGTCGCCTCATCAAGGTCGCGCAGGTCGCGGGCCTCTTGAAAGTCGGCTGGGGGCCCCGCGGTCCTCCTGCAGCCTTTGCTTCGGGATTGGCCGCCTTGGGGGCCATCGCGAAGGCGGGGGGGGCGGGGGGTCGACAGCTCGCTGCGCAAGTGCACTGTGGTTCATGTGTCCACGGCTCTACGCGCGCCAGGCTTCTGGCCGTGGCCCGCCCTGGACTTGGCGGCCCGTCGGTGGGCCCTTGAGCTCAGGGCTGCTTCCGACGGCAGAAACGTTCGGCGCGCGGAGCGGGGCGAGGGCCCCGCGCTGCAGGGGCGCGGCCGCCGCGGCAAGGGCGGCGCTCGCAGGGCCGGGGGGGGGTCCGAGGCGGGCCGGGATTTCGCGCCGAGCTTGGGGCCGTCGCCAGCGCGCCCGCCAGCCCCCCCAGAAGCTGGCGCCGCGGGCAGCGGCCCCGCCAGCCACGCGCGGGCGGGGGATGCGCCGCCCCCGAACAGCGCCGTCAGTGCCGCCGCGGCAGTCGGCCCTCCCGACGCGGCCGCCATGCCCAGAGCTCTTCGGGGCGGACAAGGCTGCCAAGTCGCCTGAAGGGAAGCTCGGAATGAGCGGCGTGGCGGCATTTGCCGCCGTGATCTTAGGCGCGATGTTGCTCTGCCTGCTGCCGTCGACCCTGTTTTCCCCAGCGCCGCGAGGGGTTTAGTCAACTCGCGCTGGCGGGCGCGGTCCAGGGGGCGGGCGCGGCAGCGGGCAAGATCCTGACAGCCGGGCCCAACGTCCGTCTGCAACGGCGCCGCCAAGTTTGCGTCGGCAGTGGCCGACGGCCTCATCGGGGCGATCTGGGCGGCCTGGCGAGGGGTGGATCTACTGGACGCAGACATCGCGGGCAGCTCGGGCCGAGTTACCGTCGATGGGCGAGGGGGGCCGGGCAGACTCCTCGCCGAGCCAGGGGCGCAGCGCGCGATGGGTTTAGAGCAGGAAGCTTTGATTGTGCTCGGTCGTCGGCTGTCTCTTTGCTCGCCCAGCCGCCGTCGAGGCGAATTCGCGCATCGCCGTTGTCTTTCAGCGCAGTTGTGCGAGCTTGTGAGTTTATAGGGCCCGTTGCCCCCCCGGCGGACACGTCTGGGCCGCTTTTTTTTTGGGGGGGGGTCGCGGGGGCTTTCCTCCCCCTGCGGGCGCGCCCTCTATGGGGGGCCCTCGGCATAAATGAGACAACCGGGCCCCCTAGCACGACCCGTCGTCTTCAGCAGCTGGCCCTTCAGACGTTCGCAGAGCCCGACATTAAACTCGGCCTCAAGGCGCGCCGCGTCCCCGCCGCCCTCCCCCCAGGGTTTTCTCTGGGACTCTTTCGGCGCGCCGCGTTGTGGGTGGCTCGCGTGCTCAGAGGCGTCCCTTGTCGATTTGCCCTTGTCAACGCGGCGCAGCTTTCGTTTCGCCGCGGAGCGAATGGGGGCGACGACGCAATAGGGCCGGTGGGTCTATATGACAGTCAAATAGCCGGGCCGACGCGGGGTGGCATGCGCATGTATAAACATGCATCATAAGTGTTCAGGAAACACCAGAGGCGACAGGGACAAATGCTCGGCCATCTTTTCTTTCTCAGTCCAGTCAGGGCGAGCCCAATTTCAGTGCTGAAATGGTCTAGTGAGCTAGTGAATGGTAATTTTCGGTGGGCACGGCGGGGCAGCAGGGTCGGAGCAGGACATGAGATGTCGCACATGCCTGCTCAAGCACGCCTCTCCCGTGGCTTTTTGTCGACCGAACTTTCAGCCTCCTCTCTCTCGCCTCGCCCCCTTCCCTCGCGTACTTAAGCTTTGATCATCCAGCATTCGTACCAGTCGAAGGCCAGAGTTCAAGCGCATGTAAGTTGAACGAATCTTCTTCTGAGCCCCTCGCGCGCAGGGCGCGGGTGGGCAGGCGCAAATAGACATAGACATCAAAGGGTTCTCAAGGAACGCCAGAGCTGGCAGGGAAACAGGGCCCGCCATCCCTCCTGTCTCAGCAACCCTCGTGCTGAACGCGTTGTCGACTGCTCCTCTTCCGCCTGCCCCCTCCCCTCCTTTTTCCCTCCCTCCCCCTATGTTCCACTTCCTCTCCCCTTCCCTACCCCTTCTGTGCCCTGGTGCGGTCGGCTCCTTCTCTCGTTGGGGCACCCCGCCGCCCACAACCAGGAGGTGAACCAGATAATGAGGGCGCTGCCGCCCATGCCCAACAAGAAACTCAAGGACGCTCCTCCCCGAAGGGGTGGGGGGGCGGGGGAAAAATGACTAAAAGGGGCGGACAAAAAAAGGGCGGGGGGCGGGGGAAAACTGGAGTTGGGTTTATGCACGACGACCGCCTGGGGGGGTCGGTCGGTCATTCGGGACTTTTGCGGGCGGTGGATCTGGATATGTTCGGGCCCAGGTGGGGGTCAAATCTTTCCAGATCCGCCGCCTGCTGAGGTCCCGGAAACCGATCCCATTAGCGTTCGGAAAAGGGGGGGGGTCGAAAATTCCTGCACGCAATTGGATGTCGGCTCCACTGCCTACCCTGGTGCCTCGGGGCGCCAGGAAAGCCCGTCTGTCGCCCCCACCTTTTTCGTCCACGCGTGCAGCGGCCTGTTGTCGCAGTTGACCGCTGCCGTCCACAGTCAGCGGAGAAGGAAGGGGAGGACGGATACTGAAGGAGGGGGAGGAGGAGGAGGAGGGGGAAGAGGAGGAGGAGGAGGAGGAAGGAAAAGGAGGAGGGATAATTACAGGTCGGATAGGGAGAGGAGGAGGAGGAGGAGGAGGAGGAGGAGGAGGAGGAGGAGGAGGAGGAGGAGGAGAGGAGGCAGGAAGAAAATACGAGGAGGCAGAGATGACGATGAAGAGCTGGAGGGGAGGAGGCTGCGGAAGACAGGAGGAGGAGTCGGGGGAGAAAGAGGAGGAAGCTGGACGAAACGGAGGGTCGGAGGAGATCGAGGACGAGGATGAGAGGGGCGTCTTGTCTTCCCTGCTCGGCCGCCATGGGCCGGCGCGCGCGCGCGCCTCTTCGGAGCGGTGGGGCATTTGCCGTCAGACGGTGCCCTCTGGCGCCTGGGGGGGGGGGCGGCTTCCTCACTCCTCCCTCCTCCTCCACCCTCCCCCGTCCTCAGCCATCCTTCCGATTCCTCTTGCTATATCGACGCGTGTGTACACACATATATATATAAATATATATATATAAGTTGATGTTCAACATTATCTTTCTGTAGGCGCGCCAAGGGCGCTCTGCCTCTCGATTCTGACCCAAGCAGGACACGCGATGTCCGCTGATTTCGATGTTCTCGGTCGCGCTGGACAGAACAACTGGTCTGCCGAGGTTGGCGTTTGCCCTCACGCGCGCCACCCCGGCCCCCGTCCCCGAGTTCTGACATGACATTGCAATCTGGCCCAGCGCCCTCGCCTTCGCGTGGCCAGGCGCCTATTGTTCGGACCGCCCTGGAGGGCAGGGCGTGTGACATCGTTCGTGGGCGGGTTCGCTTTCTTGACGACGGCGACGTTCGTCGACATGCTGCGGCGCAGTATCGGCCGCGGCTTGATAGGTCGATTTGTGTTTCCGCGGATAGGAAATCGACGAATCTACTCTGCGACTACAACGGGTGTGGTTGCGCCAGGGCGTGGTTTGTGATCGGCGCCGTTGGGGCCTGGGGGGTACGGCACGACACTTTTCTCGTCGTGCCTCCTCGGGGCGCGGCGGAGAGCTCCGTCGAGGTCTCCGCCCGCCCCCCCTCCAGGGTGCCAGTTGCATACCACACCCTTCGCAAACCACACCCTTCGCAGTCGCCGATATGCCCCCCGTTGTCCAGCGAATTGATGCCCATTTGATTTCTGGGACGATTTCTGTCCATGTATGGTTCACGATTTCTACCTTCGGTCTCAGAGGTTTTGGAGCGAGGCCCTGCTGTCGCGCCCTCGCTTGTTGTACAATTCAAGTCAAGTCAAGTCAAGTGAGACTTGCACCGGCCGGTGCGTGAGCAAAGTGAAACATCAAATAGGCGTGGCGCGGGTCACACTAAGGTGACCCAGAGAAGGAGGAGGAGAAGGAGGAGGAGGAGGAGGAGGAGGAGGAGGAAGAAAATACGAGGAGGCAGGAAGAAAATACGAGGAGGCAGAGATGACGATGAAGAGCTGGAGGGGAGGAGGCTGCGGAAGACAGGAGGAGTCGGGGGAGAAAGAGGAGGAAGCTGGACGAAACGGAGGGTCGGAGGAGATCGAGGACGAGGATGAGAGGGGCGTCTTGTCTTCCCTGCTCGGCCGCCATGGGCCGGCGCGCGCGCGCCCTCTTCGGAGCGGTGGGGCATTTGCCGTCAGACGGTGCCCTCTGGCGCCTGGGGGGGGGGGCGGCTTCCTCACTCCTCCCTCCTCCTCCACCCTCCCCCGTCCTCAGCCATCCTTCCGATTCCTCTTGCTATATCGACGCGTGTGTACATATATATATATATATATATATATATAAGTTGATGTTCAACATTATCTTTCTGTAGGCGCGCCAAGGGCGCTCTGCCTTTCGATTCTGACCCAAGCAGGACACGCGATGTCCGCTGATTTCGATGTTCTCGGTCGCGCTGGACAGAACAACTGGTCTGCCGAGGTTGGCGTTTGCCCTCACGCGCGCCACCCCGGCCCCCGTCCCCGAGTTCTGACATGACATTGCAATCTGGCCCAGCGCCCTCGCCTTCGCGTGGCCAGGCGCCTATTGTTCGGACCGCCCTGGAGGGCAGGGCGTGTGACATCGTTCGTGGGCGGGTTCGCTTTCTTGACGACGGCGACGTTCGTCGACATGCTGCGGCGCAGTATCGGCCGCGGCTTGATAGGTCGATTTGTGTTTCCGCGGATAGGAAATCGACGAATCTACTCTGCGACTACAACGGGTGTGGTTGCGCCAGGGCGTGGTTTGTGATCGGCGCCGTTGGGGCCTGGGGGGTACGGCACGACACTTTTCTCGTCGTGCCTCCTCGGGGCGCGGCGGAGAGCTCCGTCGAGGTCTCCGCCCGCCCCCCCCTCCAGGGTGCCAGTTGCATACCACACCCTTCGCAAACCACACCCTTCGCAGTCGCCGATATGCCCCCCGTTGTCCAGCGAATTGATGCCCATTTGATTTCTGGGACGATTTCTGTCCATGTATGGTTCACGATTTCTACCTTCGGTCTCAGAGGTTTTGGAGCGAGGCCCTGCTGTCGCGCCCTCGCTTGTTGTACAATTCAAGTCAAGTCAAGTCAAGTGAGACTTGCACCGGCCGGTGCGTGAGCAAAGTGAAACGTCAAATAGGCGTGGCGCGGGTCACACTAAGGTGACCCAGAGAAGGAGGAGGAGGAGAAGGAGGAGGAGGAGGAGGAGAAGGAGGGGGAGGGGGAGAGCTAGCACCAGACGGTGTACAAGCAGGAAGCACGCAAAATGGACAAGCGACCGGTCAGTCGCGCCATGCTTTCACCGCCGACTCCCACGCCGCTGCTGCACCGGCCTCCGGCCGGAAGAAATCAGCTAAGCGGCCGCGGGTGCCGACTATTCTCAAACAGTTATTCAGAACCATGTTGCCGCAAATGTTGCCCCACATCTGTCGGGGGCGCCCTCGTTTGCGAGGCCCTGTCGGCAATCGCGGTTCAATGCCGCCAGGCTGTGGGACGGAGCATCGCACAGGGTCGTTGCAGGGTCGCCTCGCGAGCTGCCTCGCCTTGTTGTACAAAGTGCTTGTATTTCTACGCTGTCAATCAGGTCCCGTCTGCGGCCTCCTTCCCCCCCAAGCGCATCGATGTGCAGTGCTTGGCCGGCTTCGCCTCGATTCCGCTTTGGCATCCTGAGTTTCCGAACGGGTTGCGGCGCCGTTGGCGACGATCTTGTGCTGTCCCATGCTGCTGCCGCTGCCTCCACGTGACGTCCCGTCTTTCCCTTCCCGAGTGATTTTGAAAGTTGGAATGGGATTGCTCTATTGCTCGGCTGTTGCTCCGTCCCAGTACGCCTGGTATTGTAGCGGGTATTCGAGCTATGCATGGCACTTTGTGTGTCCGGCACGGCTAAAGCCGAGGTATTGTTGAGGGCCCGTGCTCGATCCGCGCACATGTCGTCAGACCCTGACCCTCCCCTTTCTGGATCCTCAGCATCGCCACCGGGGCGCAGTGGGGGGGGAAAGGCTCCCGTGCGTCGACCACAGGAGCGTCCGTTGCGGGCAATGCTCTGGCCAAACAAATCGCCATCGGCACCACCGCCATCGGCATCATCACCGCCATCTTCATCATCACCGCTTTCGGCACCTGTCCGTGGCGCATCATCACCGCCATCGGCATCATCGCTCCCACGAGTCGCCACTGACGCGCCGTCCCTCGAGCGGCACTGTTCGCCCCTTGCACGCTTCCGGCGCCCCAGGACCGGTTGGAGAACTACTTGGAGGATGAGATCGCGCAGGCCCGTCGGGCGTCCAATGATGCGGCGCGGATGTTCCAGGAGCGCCGTTGCAAGAGGAGGGCGACCAAAAGGACGAGCAGGATAATAAGGAGGAGGAGGCTGCGGGACATCCCCCATCGTGATTTCCGAACCCTCCCCCTCTCGCCCTTCCTTCCTCACCTCTCTGCTCCTTCCCCTCTCCTTCGCCACATTTCTCCTTGTCCACGATTCCTTGCCCACGTTTCCTTGCCCATATGTATCTCCCCTCGCCTTGCGCACATGTCCTTCTTTTAGGCATGCCCCCCACCCCCCTCGTGACTCCTTGAGCTGCGGTCGCGCAGCACTCGGCAATACTGTTAGAGCCGCCACAAGCCTAGCCGCTTCCAATTCGGAGGCCCATGTCATCCCCCCTCTTCCCTCCCGCCCCCTCCCCCCCCTTCCGTTGTGCCCCCGTATTCCCCCCTCTTCCCTCCCCCCGAACCTGTCATGGACGTTTTTTCGTTATGGCTTCGATATTGGCATATCCCTCCACCCTCCGCCGCTCTCTTCGTTTCGACCCCCCCCCCTTCTTGCTATACATCGGGCAACTTGTTAAGTACCTGTGGCAGTCTCGGGCCCCCGAACCTCCCGACACGTTTTTGGGGGCATTCTGTTACACCCCAACGTGTCGGTTGTCGATCTTGGGGCCCGACCGTTTTGTCGAGAAGCAGTGAGTTGAGTAAACATGATTCTCCGGACGACCCCCACCAGAGAGTGGTTGCGAATGGTTTCGAAGTCGGTCGGGTGTGTTCCTCAAGCGTGATTTTCACCCGCTGGTTGGTGCTTGGTCGTTACGCATATTCGCATATTATGTATGCTTGGTATATGCGTATGTTGGATCACGCGTTGCCTGTGCACGTACAGGTATGCGGCGATGCATGTAGGTTGCTATGGTCTTTGCTGAGACGTGTTTAGATCGCTCGTTTTGTGCGTGTACATGTCATTGGCGCATGCGGTTTATAGTGATGGCATTGGCGTGATGTCCTGATGTATGCCAGGACTGGGCCGTCTTATCAGGTATGATTTTGGCAGATGGTCTTGACTTATTTTCGTGACGTGTGATCTGGAGATCTGGTATTGGTGTGCGCGAGTGTGTTCATCGGCGTTTTTTGACGTATTTTAGAGCTGCATGTTATTGACATGACGTTGTTGATTTTTCTTGTAGGTCCACCAACGCATCCTTGTTATGGGCGCATGTTGCTGGTATATGTCCATGTTGTCTAAAACTGATGGCGTGTATTCGTGTACGCCGTTCATTGGTGTATGTCCATGCTGTAGGATACGCGTTTTTGCTATCGGTTTGTCATGTGTTCTTGTGAATATCTGTTTCTGACGTATGCCACGTGTGTGTGTGCTATTGATTGATGTTAATGTTGTATATATAATTCGAGTGCGCCACCCTTTATTCAAGAGGATTACGCCATTCCCCCGGCTCCTATAACAGTCAATTCGCCAAGAGTCGTGCCATTGTGCCTGGCTTGTGGACCCACGACGCCGACAACGACGACGGACGAACACGACGACGAAGACGATGTTGACGGACCACGACGACGACGACGAGGACGGGCGACGACGACGAGGACGGCCGAAGACGCTAGCGACTACGACGACGACAATGACGACGACGACGACGCCGACGGACGACGGACGTCGACGACGACAGACGACGGACGACGACGACGACAACAACGACGACGTCTGACGCTGACGACGGGCGACCGACGGCGTCCGCCGACGGACGACCGACGGACGGTGATGATTTCGACGGCGACGTCAGACGACCGACCGACCGACGAAGACGACGACGATGATGACGACGGACAACGTCGACGACGACGACGACGGACGACGACGACGACGACGACTACCACGATGGTCACTGGCGACGACGACGACGGACGACCGACGTCGGACGACCGACGGCGACCGACGGATGCCCGACCGACCGACCTCGACGACGGCGACGACGAGGACGACGACGACGTCAGCTGACGAGGATAACGACGGCGATTCCGATGACGACGAAGACGACGGACGACTGACGTCGGACGACCGACGGCGACCGACGGATGCCCGACCGACCGACCGACCTCAACGACGACGACGACGACGAGGACGACGAAGTCGGGTTACGAGGACGACGACGACGACGACGTCGACGAGGACGGACGAGGAGAACGGACGACGACGACGACGACGACGACGACGACGACGACGACGACGGCGACATCGGACGATCGACGGCGGACGACCGACGGCGACCGACGGATGCCCGACCGACCGACCGACGACGGCGACCTTCCGCTCCATTTGCCACCGAGGGCCTGAGCTGCCCCCCCGCCCCCGCCGCCGCCCGCCTCCAGGAGCGGCAGGCGCACAAGCTTGAGCACTTTCAGGAGCGGCGGCTGGGCGCCGCCCCACGGCCCAGTGGTTCAGCAGAGGGAGGCCCAGACGTGTCCTCCTCGTCCTCCTCCTCGCCTTCCTCTCCTCGCAAACTGAGCTCGCTGTTGCCTGTTCGATGTTCCTTGATCTCGCCTTTCAGTCGTACCATGACTTGCGCTTCTCGCCTTCCCTGATGCCTCCGAGGGGGGCTCGGCGGCTTCAGGAAAGGATGCGGGCCCGACTTAAACAGCTTAAGCGGCGGGACAACCGTCTCAGCCTGCTGCTTGGGTAGAGCAGCGTGACGAAGGAACAGGACTTTCTGACTTTCTCTCTCTTCGCTGCTGCTGCTGCTGCTGCTGCTGCTGCTGCTGGCCCGCCTCCCCCCTAATAGCGCGTGCACTCGTCCTCGTCCTCCGTCTCCTCCTCCCTGCTTATCCTCCTCCTCCTCCTCCTCCTCCTCCTCCTCCCCCTCCTCCTCCTCCCTCTTCCTCCCTCTTCCCCCCCTCCCCCCCTCCCTCCTTCTCATCCTTCCCCTCCTCCTCCCCCTCCTCCTTCTTCTCCTCCCTCTTCCTCCTCCTCCTTCTCCTCCCCCCTCCTTCGGCCAGGCGGCGTCCCATCCCCACGGCCCGGGGTTCGACTCCACGTACGAGTGACCCTTCGCCGCAGTAACCTTTGTTGCGGGCCCACTGGGGTCCCCCTGGTTGCCGAGCGCGATGCGATATTTGCGTCCTGTGCGCTTGGGTTTGGCCCCCCCCGCAACTCCCAAACAGCCGCGCACCAACGGTCACCCCAGGTTCACACTTGCTCGTCGTCGATGGGGGGTGGGTCGACTCCGCGTAAGAGTGACAATCCGCCAGAGTGACCTTTGGTGCAGGCCCACTGGGGTCCCCTGGTCGCCGAACGCAGCGCGGTGGTAGCGTGTTGCGCGCGGGGTTTGGCCCCTGGAGGCCCCCCTCTGAAGCCGCGCACCAAAGTTCGCTCCTGCCTAGGGTTACTCTTGCGTGCAACCGAGGGGGGCAGCCCGCCGCCGTGTTTCGCCCCTGCCGGCCTTCCGCCGAGGGCGGGACGCGCCGAAGGGGAGGCCCTGCCTGCCTGAAGTCAGAGGGGCGGGGGACCAGCTCACAGGGAGGGGCGAGTGCTTGAGGCTGGAGGTTTCCGGGCGTGTTCGTCGGTCCCCGGCGGCTGTCCAGGGCGCCCTCCAGCAGCTGCGCTTCGCCGACGGCGTTCGCCGGATCCCTGGGCGGTCGCCGGAGAGGCGGGTTCTGACCCAGACCCCCTGTGCGGGCAATATTTGGGTATCCATGTCCAGTGCGCTTTGGACTTTCTTGGAAGGGGCGCCGCAAGGCCGAGGCGCACTGGACATGGATAAGAATAGAGCCTCGAGGGACAAGACTTTTATCCACATCCAGTGCGCCTCGGGTTTCTGAGGAAGGTAGCCCGAAACTCCGAGCTGCAGTGGGGGCGCACCTGTTGAAGAAGTCAGCACATCGGATCTCTGGAACTTGGGTGTGCCTTGAGCAGGAGGCTGGTATCTCCTCCTATTCCGGGGGCTGTCCACCCGGATTTTCCTCTCCTCACCCCCCTCTGGTCCCGCAGACCCGTCCCCGCTCACCCTACCGGCAGAACCCCCCCCCCTCTGGAGGAGGAGCAGCAGTGCGAGGAGCTGTGGAGCGTGTTGCTGAGACAAGAGGGAAACAGCGAGAGTCGCAGTGAAGGCGGCCCCAGGGCTCAAAGAAACGCAGAGTGTCGATCAAACCCCGTGCATTAACGACGGGTCACGCTTCCATGCCAAACTCGGCGCCCGCCGTCGCCCAATCGGATGGCGTTGACTTCGCCCGCGCCCACGCGCGGCTCGTTCTTGTCGTTCCGGCGCTGCTGCGACCTTTCTGCGGGCGTTCGCGATTGAAGGCCGCCAGTGGCCCAGGACCGGCCACTATGAAGCGATCCGGCTTTCGACAAACCGCCGGCAGCTCAAGCTTGAACGATTCACGTGGCGTCAGAAACTGACGCCGGGACCGTCACGACACCGACCTGCCGCCGTCCATGTTGGCGTGCCCTTGCAGGGTATGCCTCGACCGCGCGCAGAGGGGTTCGGGGAGTGTGGCGTCGCAAAAGCCAGATTCCCAACACCGCCTTTACAGTCAACCCGCATAATCAGGATGGGCAACCTTCCCAAGGGTACGCTTGCATCCTTGCCTCCTCGGTCCATCCTCGGTCGCTTTCGTTGGCCGCGCGCCGATCGCAAAGTATCAACATGGCCTTCCAGAGCCCTTGCTTGCATCCTTATCGTGTCTTATCGCGCATCCTTACAATACGGATTGACTGTAGTCAACATCGACGGTAGCGTGGCCTTGGCCTGTACTGTAACTCTCCTTTCGTCCGACCCGATGCTTCAGGGAGGGATGCGCCGATGTCCGCAATCGCGGACTCATCGCACACAGTGGCCCGAGAGCCGAGAGCACACCCCGCCCAGGTGCGCGCGGAGTCTCCAGCGGGCCCCATAGCCGATCTATTGGCGATGCATCGCCGATTCCAGCGCGATGCCTCTGCCCCTGGACCGGTTCCCCCGTGGCGTCCCCCTGTACTCCTGGGGCAAGCAGGAGGGCCTGCTCAGTCGATCCAGGCCGCAAGGCCTCCCGACGTGCCGTCGGGGGGGCACCACCAAGGGGGTCGCCAGCTCACCCGAGGATCGGGTTTCGAGGAGACTCTCGACGACTTTGGCGTCTGGGGAAGTTCTAGGAAGTCCTGTTGGCTTGCCCCCCCTTCCCCTCCACTCTGTTCTCACGCCCCTCCTCCCCCCCGCCTCCCGCGCCACTTGCCCCGGGCGCTGGCCCGCCCGCGCTGTCCTCGCAGGGCCGGCCCGCCGCACCGATGCCGCGCGCTCCGCCCCGCCACTCGGGGGCAAGGAACGGGGGCATAGACCTGGGGCAACTCAGGGCAGCGACAGGGGCAGCGCATCGCTACTCTAGGACGGCAGGGCAACTCAGGGCAGCGACGCATGGGGCAACTCAGAACGACGACAGGGCAACTCAGGGCAGCGACAGGGGCTAGGGTAGCCCCGCTACTCAGAGGCAGCGACAGGGCAACGCTTCGACCCTCTATCGCCCACGGATCGCCGGTAGGGGTCGGATAGCCCCACCCCGCCCAGGAACGACGTGGGGATTTGCTATCGGGGGCCCAGCGCCGAGTCTAGGTCGAGGTTCCCCCCCCATGCCCGTCCCCCCCCCGATTCGCTGTCCCTCGCCCTCGGCTCGGGTGCGCTCCGCTCCCCCGGACCCCCGCGAGGAGGACCTGAAGGCGATCAAGCAGGCTCAAGAGAAGAGGCGCCTCCAGGAGGCGCCCCCGGCGCGCCGCTGCCCGCAGCGCCCCCTGCCGCGCTGGTCGGAGGAGGGCCTGCCGTGGCAGCGGTGGCCCTTGGTCGGTCTTCGGGAGGTGCTCGGAGGCGTTCGGTTCGTGGGGCGGTGTCCGGCAGCTGCGCCCCGTGTGGGGCGTTCCGGGATGCCGGGGCCACCTCGAGGGTGCGCGGTGAGTCGCGCTGCGCGGTCTGGGCGATTTCAGAGCGAGGCGCGAGCCCCTCATCCTGTTCTGGGCGGGGGCGGCGCGGAAGCACGAAGGTGCTCGCGCTTCGCGGAGCGCGAAGCGCGAAGATAGTTTCCCCCTGGGGGATGCCGGGATCGCCCAGGGCGTCCACCCGAGGCCCGAGCTCGCGCCCGCAAGCAGTCGGAGGAGGACCGCTTCAGGTTGCGGCGGCCCCCGGACGGTTTCGGGTCGGTGCTCGGAAGTGGTCGGGGCCTCGTCTCGGGCGTTCCGCAGCATGTTCGAGTCCGCAAGCCTCCAGCTCGGCATGTCGGCGCACCGGTTTGCAAGGCGCATGGACTTGTTGGCCAGCGTGGACTTGCCCGAGGCAAAACGCCGGGGCCACTGGGCCGCCATCGGTGTGGTCCACACGGGCGGTACCTTCGCACCCTTCGGCTGCAATTCTTGGGATGTTAATCAGATTCAGCATCGGTGCTGGGATATCCGTGGTCGACAGCTGCCCAAATTTTGCCTAGTCTCCCTTGACCCTGGCAAGCATTGAGCTTCATCATGGCCGATCTGGCCCAGTTGTGGCCCCTTAGTAGGGGACGTTTGCCCTAACCCTGCGGGGCTAGGATAGGCATGGATCGTTTCAGCGCGTCCCAGGGCGCCTCCAGAGCGCTCTCAAAGCGTTCCGGAGCGCTCTGGAACGCGCTGAGCGCTTCAGACCGCTCAGAGCGTTTCAGAGCTTCTCCCGTGGCGCCCTTTGCATCCTCCAGAACCGCGGGATCTCAGAGATCCCCGATGTGTCCCTGTCCGATTTCGTCCTGGTCCATTTGTATCCACGGCCTCGCGGGCCCGTAGCCATTTTGGCTCAAGGAGCCGTTCTGGCTCAGGTGTTGATTCCTGAGCTTGCAGCAGCAGTCTTCAAAGCGGCAGTCGCTGCTGCGAGCCCCGTTCCAACCTTCAGTTCGTGGGATCTCAACCCACACATTCATCCAAGCCTACGGGCTCTCATGACCGATGGAGATGGCGCTGAGGTCCTCCCTGGGCCAAGGACGCCTACCTGGGCGTGCTCATGTGGTCGCAACACCAACTGGGCGTCCAGGATCATTTGCAGATGCGGGAAGAAGGCGCCGCTCGAGGTGCGCCGTGCAGCCGAGCTTCATGCGCGCGGCCAGCAGCATCGTCAGCGGGCTGGTCTACCTCGTGGCGGTGGGGGTGGTCGTGACGACAAACTACAGAAGAGGCTGGACGAGCTCCAGCGCAAGTTTGACAAGTTGGCAGGAGGAGGTCACCTGTCCCTTGTCCCTGTGGCCAGCCACCCTGCTAAGGAACCGCCCAAGGACTCCAAGGAGCAGGAGCTGCGCGACAACATCAAGCAGCTCGAGGTGGCCATATCGCACTGTGAGAAGCTGGGTGAGTCGGGCAAAGGTGCCAAGGCTGAGCTCGAGATCAAGCTGGAGGCCGTACGTCGCGAATTGCATCAGACTAAGCCCCAGCTCACTCAGCATACTAATGTGGGTCATCGCTTGGCAAGTGCTAAAGGCAAAAAGCAGAGACTTGAGCACCAGATCGAGGAGCAGCTACGCTTCATCGCGAGTGCTCAAGAAAAGATCGATGGCATGCGGGCACAAGTTGCTGCTACGGACCGCGAGATCGAGCTCCTCAATCGGGACCTCATTCGTGCGTTGCCTGGCATGCCCGTCGTGCATTTGGAGGTCGATCCTGAGGTGCTGGCTGCCTCGAGTGAGCAAGCGCAGATCAAGGAAATGCTCCAGTCCGACACGTTCAAGAAGTTCGCGGAGCTGCTGGCGGCCTCCCAGCGAAGGCATCACCTACGGCAGCGGCATCATCGCCTTTCAAGTCCGAAGATGCTGGTGTGCCTGGTCATGGGGCTCCTAGTAATGCATCGGCCGCCAGCGGAGATGGTGCGGCTGAGGCACAACAACAGCCGACACCAGGTTTTGAGCATGATGGGGATCTTGACGAAGACATGGTCGAGGAGATTTTCAATGCAGCCATGCGGATTGACAAGCGTGAGTTCATTGAGAAGTTCGGTAGCAGGCTGTGCAAGAAGCCGCGCGTGGGGTAGCCCTTTGCTCCCACGGTGTTGCGGCTTGCCTATGTCTAAATTCGGAGTTCCTGCTCCACTTCCGCCTCCCCCCGACTCGCTCGACTCGTCCTCGCTTGCTGGCTTGGGCGAAAGCTTCGAGGCCTACAATGGCAATTGCTGGCCGACTTTGCGTGAGAGGCTTTGCTCGACATCGGCGCTCGTCCTGCTGGCGCAGGAGATCGGGGCCCTCGAGGACCGTGAGGGTGAAAGAGCGGCCTCAGCGGCCAGCTTTGGGTGGAAAGTGCTGCGTTCCCCCTCCCCTGCTGGTGAATCTGGGAGACCTCGAGCGGGAGTCGGAGTTTTCGCCCGCGCGCACATAGGCCTGCGATGGCCGTCGGATGCTCCTGGGATTGTTGCCAAAGGGGCGTAGCATCCATGTGATTGTCGACTTGCCTGGATGGCCGCCCCTGCACGTGTTTTCGTGATGCTTTAAGTCGGGGTCTGGGTTGTGTGCGTTCAATCTCTCCCTTCTGAGGCAATTAGGAGAGAGGCTCACGGGGAAGCATATGTACGTTGCGGGGGGAGACTGGAACCTCGACCCCCATCTGGCTGACTCCACGGGACTTCCCCGTCGAGTTGAAGGGGCCCTGTTTGTGCCAGCGCAGAAGACCTGCTTGTCCTCAGGAAGCCTCGCCGCTATCGTCTACTTTTTCGCGAGCACGTGCTTCGCACGAGCCTGTGATAAGGTTGAGGCTGACATGTCCTGGACTCATCGCCCTCACAGGCCCGTGCGCCTCGCGTTGCGTTCCGATGCCGTTCGGCGCCATCAGCTGATGTATCGGTCGCATCAAAGACTCCCGACGGAGCTGCCTTTCGGGCCGACCCCCAGACCCCAGGACTGGACCCTCAGCCGTATCATTGCTGAGGGCGCTGCTGCTGCAGCTCCCACTCGCCCCATCGGCGAGGCGTGGGAACTTCCCACTGTTGCCTGGGAGTATTTTGCCAACACGCTCGAGCTTGAGCTCGAGGCTTTCACGGGAGTGGAGGTTAAAAGCGAAGGACACAAAGGGGACCTCTTGAGAGCTCGTTGGGTCCTGATTTTTGCTAAACCCAAGGCCTGTAGCCTCCGTGAGCAGCACGTCGGATGGATCTGGCTGGCCCAACATTTGTCTGAAACCATTGGGGTGTCAGCTCGATTTCGAAGGGCGGCCCAGGAAACCGATCCCACGGACCAAGCCCAGGTCCAGCGTTTGTCTGAGGATGCGAGCCACCAGATCCAACAGCTTCTTATGTTACCATGCCCTGGTGAGGGGCAGAATGTTAGACTCGACGCGACCCTCGCTCAGGCGCGCACTTTGGCTCGTTCTTTTACGCTCGATGATGGCCTCGACAGCTGGATTGAGCAGTGTCAGGAGTTTCTGTCGTCTTGGGACGACGACCTGGACGAGGCGCGCAAGGCCGTCGCGAAGGTTCAGCAGGATAGTTGGGATCAATGGCAGGAGAAAGCTCTTTCTGGGGGAGCGAGGGCCATGCACAGGCTCACGAAACTCAAGCAGAGGTGGACCCCGACCGTCGTGCAAAATCATCCTGGTTGTTTTTCTAACTCCCCTCAAGAGCTGCTTGAGGCTGAAGGCAAATCCCTGTCCGAGTTTTGGCACGCGTCGCACATGCCACCCGAGGCGTGTGTTCCTGATCGGGCGCACCTCCCTAGGCCGACGGCGGCCGAGATTAGAAGCGCGTCCAGCAGTTTTTCGCACCTGACTTCGCAGTCCCTCGATGGACTGCACCCGAGACAGCTCGCGTTGGTTTCGGACGATGCCCTTGACACGTTTGGGGCGTTAATCCAAGCGATTGAGTCCCTGGGCCTCTTTCCCAAACAACTGTTCTGGCTGCTTTTCCCTCTTTTGGAAAACCCAAGGGAGGCCTTCGACCCATCTTGCTGTGCGCCGGCCCCGTCCGTGTCTGGGAACGTTTACGGAGACCTCTGATTGTGGATTTCAACACGAACTACCCTCGCAGCTACTGGGCGTTTGGCCCTGGCCGCAGTGCTGAGAGTGCCGCGTGGCACCGGGCCGTCCAGGCCGAGATGGCCCACTTCGAGTCTCAGGAGACGGGGGGCATAATATGGGATGGGACGAAGTACTACGAGTCATTTGATTTAGCCCTTCTCAAGGATAGAGCGTTACGTTACGGTATTAACGAGGTCATTGTCAAAACGACGTTTAACTATTGGAGGGCCCACTACGGGGCCCACTACGGGGCCCAGCCTTATTTCGCCAGGTCTGGTCTTCCCGCGGGAGATATCTTCAATGATATCATGGTTCGAGTTTACAGCATCGAAGCCTTTGACAAGTTTGTTGAAGACAATCCCAGCGTCGATTTGTCGTCGTATGTCGATGATGAAGGCGTCGCAGCGTCGGGCTCTGAGCAAGAGGTCCTGGCCACTATCACTCAGGCGGCTGCTTGCCTGTACGTCCTGTTTAGGGATGAGCTGCGCGTCGGCATTCAGCCCGACAAGGTCAGCACCTTTGTCAGCAGCCGCACCCTCGCCCAGAAGATTGCTAGGCACCTCGGGCAGCTGGCGGGCAAGGTCACGAACAGCGTGGTCTCCCTCGGCGCGGATTTCGCACCAGGTCAGACCCGAGGTACTAAACATGGTCTGTGGAAGAGAAAACAGAGGTTTCCCCACAAGAAGAGGCATAAGGTTTTGATGCGATATCGCTCGGCCCTTCCCCGCAACAAATCTCGCATGGGAGAGATCTTTGCGTGCGGAGTGTTGCCCGCGGCCAGTTTCGGCGCGTCGGTTGTGGGGATGAGTCAGGGCGAGCTCCAGGTGGCTCAACGCGTGCTGCTGTCGTCGCACCCCCCTAGGCACCGAGGGTGCTCCCTCCAGGCGCGTCTGGTGATCCTTGGAGACCCGATGTGGAGGCCGTCTGTGGCGCCAGCCCTGCAGTGGGCGTCGATCGTGTGGCTGGCTCTCACCACCCCGTCGGTCTCTAGGTATAATATCAAGGAGATTGCTCATTTGTGGCGTTCTGTCCCCTTTGATGACAAGGTCACGTGGCGCTCGTCACGAGGACCTCTGCAGCGCATGCACCTGTCGTTGGCTAGGATCGGGTGGAAGTCGGTGACCCCCCTTACTTTTGAGGACGACTACGGTCGAGAGGTGCACTTGGGATACACCTCGCCCGCTATGTTAGCGCACATGTTGCAGTTGGCGGTCCAACGAAAACATGAACGGGTTTTATGTCAGGACACCCCTGGAGCCGACGGTTTTCGGTTTTGTGTCGATCCCCTGAAAACCTTGCTGGGCCCCAAGGGAAGGAAACTCAACCCTCAGCAGAAGCATTTGGCGCTGAGTGTGTTTTGCAAAGGGATTTGGACCAGAGCGAGGGCTCAGGCCGCTGGATACTCGTGCGACGGACTTTGCCCGAAGTGCGGGATGCCCGACAGCGTGCGGCACCGCGTTTGGCAGTGCCTTCACCCTGACACCGTCGCCGCCCGTAAAAGTGTTACTGATGACTCTCCTGTTGAATGGCTGGACGAAGCTCTTGAAAGTCAGGACCGTTTGTTCTTTGATGAGTTAAAGTGGGAGCACCCTGAAGCCTCCTACCCTCCTCCGTCCTCGGCCACTCAACCCATCCTGTACTCTCCTGAAGGGGATATTATTGATTGGGGCTCTGTGGACCTCTCGGGTTGCGATGTCGTCATGGACGGCTCGGCCTATCGGCATACCGTTAGGGAGTTGTCCAGAGCGGCTTACTCCTGGGTTTTCTTGGGAGAGGGCGACACTATTATTGCGTACGCCAAAGGTACTGTTCTTTCGGTCCTCCCCCAGACCTCCCAAGCTGCGGAGCACCTTTGCATGGCCCTCCTCCCGATGTTTCAGAGCAACGGCGGAGACCGCCACACCGATTGCATGAATGTGGTGCGCATCTGTGTGGCGACGAGGGAGTACCAGGTTTTTCATAAACATCGTTATGCTGGTCTTCGGAGAGGTGCCCTGCTCCATGAGAGTTCCCCATCCCGTCGGTGCACCACGCACCTGCGCACCGTGCGCGCGCTGTTCTGGATGCTCTGCCAGCGCACGAGAAACGGATTGGCATAGGCAACTTGAAAGCCGACGCCCTTGCCAAGCAAGCTCTCCTCCTCCATCCCCAACCCAGTGTGCACGAACGTACGGAGGTGGACAGGAAGTGTGAGTTGTTGGCTTTCGCTGCCAGGGTGGCGGGTACCGTGCTTGCCACCCTTCCCCCCGAACAGTTTGAGCGTCGGCCCTTGGGACCGAGGGCTAAGTTTTTTAAATCGGGAGGTTGGCATTCTTGGCAGGAAATAGGTCAGGGCTGCGCCAGATGTTTGCATTGCCTTTGTTTGTCCACTGATCGGGATGCGCGCCCCATGTTGGGATGTAAAGGACCCAGCAGGCTGTGGCGTGGTGTCCTGGATCGGTCCTTGGGTCACTCGTTGGCGCATTGCATTGCAAGCAAAGGTGAGCGGAGGCTCACCCTCTTCTTTTGCTCCATGCGCGGAGCGTACTCCTCTGCGCGCTGTCATGTGCTCGGCAAGGAGTGCCTTCAGCGCCGACTGGCGGGTGGCACTACCGTGCTGAGGAGGATCTTTGCTGGCCTCTATCCTCACTATCGTGACAATAGCACGGTGAGCGAATCCTCGAGGCGAGGCGTGGCTTTCTTTTGCTGCGAGTCTCAGAGGCCACCGCCGCCAGATGTCAGCCTGCCGCTCTCGCCGTCAGGGCTGATAGAGACGGCAGGTATGGCGGCGCTCCTGGCACGCATTCAGGCCCGTGAAGCGTCGGCGGTGGCACGGCCCGTTGCCGCGCCTTTAGGCGACGCACCGTGACCAGATTTTGACCAGATTTTGTGGATGGCGGGTGGCTAAATCTGGGGCCTCATCTGTCCCCTGTCCCGCCCGCTGTCCCTCATCTGCTGGGCTGTACGTCAGACGTGCTCAGCGGGTGAGCTGGTCTTCGGCCATCGTGGCCGACGTGCTGTTTCAAAATCGTTCAGGCCCCCAGGGGATCGCTGACAAAAAAACGGCCTCGCGGGCCAGGCCCTTGGGACGCGACCCCGCGGATACGGCGCGTTGTTTCGCAGACGCCGCCCCGTGCGCAACGTGTCCGCGCGACCACGTATCCGCGGGCTCGCGCCCAGACCGCGAGGGCGTGGATCTTCGCCGCTGGTGGTTATTGGGTATTTGTTCAAGAGGCTTGCCCCGTTCCGCCGACCCCCAGAAGAGGCGTGGAGTCCACAGTTGAGGCGTCGTGGGCTTCTTCTTGGGCGTTGCGTCGGGAATCTAGCGGGCGCCTTGGAAGCTCAGTGGGGGCCTGGCGGAGCATCCTGGAGGCAGTTTTGAAGCGTGTTTGGGGTCGCCTCCGGGCCTCCCCCAGCCTTCTGAGAAGTTTTCGAGGCCTTCCCCACACCGAAAATTTCTCAGAAGACTGGAGGGCTACCGAGAAGCCCCGCCGCCTTCTGAGAGGGTCTTCTCATTTTCACTTCCCCCCATCGCTCGTCGCCAAGCGAGGGCGTGGATATGGTTACGATCGCAGCTGGTGATTACTTGATACAGTCAAGACGCTGAATCGAGGCACAATTTGGGCGCTTCTGGGGCTCACAAGATCCTTTGCTCCTTATTCAGCGTTCTGTCTGGTAGTACCTGACTCTACTTGATACTTATCACAGAACCCTCCCAGAAGTTGCCTCCTGTCCCCCGGCGCTCCGCTCCGGCGCCCGCGCCAGGCCCGCGATCCCGACGGATAGCAGAGCCAACGGCGCGGGGGGGCGCGGGCGGGTGTGGCATGACGGAGGAGCATGAGGAGGAAGGGGGAGGAGGAGGAAGAGGGAATAGGAGGAACAGGGAGGGGGAGCAGGAGGGGGAGGAAGAGGGAGGAGGAGGAGGAGGAGGAGGAGGAGGAGGAGGAGGAGGAGGAGGAGGAGGAAGGGAAAGGAGGAGGAGTAGGAGGAGGAGGAGGGGGAGGAAGAGGGAGGAGGAGGAGGAGGGAGGAGGAGTGAGAGGGAGGGGGAGGAGGAGGAAGAGGGATGATGAGCGGGAGGAGGAGGAGGGGGTAGAGCGATGACGCAGACAAGGACCCGGAAGAATCCATGAAGATGTTCATGCAGCGCCTATCGGAGGTGCAGGCCCCGAATACGACGTCTCAACCGAAGAAACAATTGAAGCTCCCAGAGGACGACGAGGAGGAGGGCTCTGAGAAGGTGACAGATGCCATGAACACGCTGGCGGACCAGATGCTCCCGGGAGTGTCTCGCGCAGACTGGCCCAAGACAGCCGAGGCGTGGCTGAAGTGCTCCACGGAACGCCCCGAGATCACCTTGGATCGGTTGGACAAGGTATATTGAAGAAGAACAAGATCCCTGCGGGAGGCCATGACAAGCCGACCAAGTTAAAGAAGCTGTCAGTCAAATTGGAGTCGCTCGAGGGAGTAGCGCCAAGTGATGTTCCGATCTGTGCGCCGGAGGCTGCGCCGTTACGGCAGGCGCCTCCGCCGCATCATCTGGTGCTTCTGGATACCGCTCGCCGTCTGCACAGACATACTCGCATGGACCATGGAACGGCGCCTTGGTCTGTCACCCGAGGTTTGCGTTGTCGCGAGCCTCGCGATAGCTCACATGTTCTACCCAATAGTTTGCTGCGACTCTCAGATAAGGTGGGTTTAGCAGCAGGAGTAGCGGCGGCAGCGTTGCAGGTGTTCCTAGCCGAAACGTTCGAAGTAGATCCTGAGGTTAAAATGTCGGCAGTTTTCGAAGTCAGGTTTAGCATGTCATTGCTGTGCTTTGACGTCGTCAGGTGTGGTGTTATCCTTTTGTAGATTGGTCCTGCTGTTCATCAGCAGGATCGTGAACGCTTTCACGAGTATCCTTATAATGTATCCGTGGGTAGTTGCAGCAGGAGTGTTCGTACATTTATGCATTTGGGCTCTGTGAAGCCCTCGTGGGAATCCCTTGAGAGCGTTGGGGGGCTTCTAGAAGGGACCCACAACCATAAGAAATCAATGATTTTGGCCCGCTCTTCGATGCCAGCTTGGACGCTCTCTCTGACTGGCCGCGAACATTCTCAGGGAGGGGGGGGGGGCAAACCTCCCAGAAGGGAAGAGGTTTCTGGCAGAGGAAGAAAGAATTCGCTAGACCACCTGAGCCCAAAGGGCTGGTGGGATTTTCGGAGGTCCGCATGGATTTCTTGGATCGGCGCTTGGCCCCCCTGCTTGGCGGAACCCCCAGCGCCGCCCGGCGCGCCAGGAAGGGGGGTCCACCGCCATTCCAAGAAATCCTCGCGGACCTCCGAAGGTTAACGTTGAAAAGCCGTCGTTTGTTCCTCCAGACGTGGACGTTGACGGCGATGCGCGCGATCTTGCAGCGTTGGAAGCCGAGGCCGCTGGTCGCTTGGAAGCCTGAGCGCGACCACGGGATGGGCTGCGGCGACGAGGACATTAATTCCAGGGCGGGGATGTATCGTGAACTGCCGCCTGGGAGATCGATCTCCGGGGACTCGGCAGGCGCTGGATATGGAGATTGTCCAGCCCTGGGGGTTGCCCATTGTATCCACGTCCACCCCCTGCCGCGTCGCTGGACGTCGATCCCCCTGGGGGTGGTCATGGATGACCCCCTCGACCTTGCAGCCTGTCTCCGCAAAGAGGCCGTTTACGCAAGCCATCGCTCGCTGGACAGCCCGTCTACCTGGCTGGTCGCGTCATTTCCACGCACGTTCCGGAGGGGGAACAACACAGGCACCGATAACCGTCGACTCCCAATATGGAAAACATGGGAATTGGAGGGGAAGACGAACATGTAGAACATATGGAAGACTTGAGTAATCCTGGAATGTGTTTAAACTTACTTGTGTGTCCCTGGGCCCCTTCACGCGTGAAAGGCACTTGACGTAGCTCGGCGGCTTCACGCTTGCGTCGCTGAGCTTGCCATCCCCGCCTCGCATGAACGGCGGCGGCGGCGTCAGCGGCAGCGGCGGCGGCGGCCGCGACGACCGCCCACGCCGAGGGGAGGCGCTCGAGGCACGCGTACGGCCGCCGTATCGGTCGCCGCGCCGGGGGGGAGCCGTGCGCGCTTGGAGCAAAAAAGGGAGCAGTCGGGGCTCAAGCTCAGAGGAGGAAGAGATACCCATACTGCTACATCCGCCCGTTTTCTCTTGTTTCGGCATCTTGGGAGGCCCTCGTCGGCATCGCTGGATTCCCTCGAAAGTCTGGTCAGAACGGATTCCAGGAGAGGTCCTGGGAGTAGCGGCGTCGATACCTTTTGGTTTCCTCAGGGGCCCTGGTGGCGGCGAGTTCCCCACACCTCCTCGCGCTCTGGCGAAATGTCATGTCGTTTTCTGTTCCTACCCGACGGGTTTTTATCGGGGAGCAATGATGGCATAGGCAAAGGCTTTCGGAGGTCCGCGCGGGTTTCTTGGATCGGTGCTGGATCGAAGCATGCCAGTGCTCCCTGGGTGTCCCGCCTCTTGCTTCCAACGAAGCACAATTGCATGCCGCGGCCCCCAGGCCCGAAGTGTGCTAGGCTCCCTAGGGATCCCTGCCTCGCGTTCCGGTGAGGATCTGCCGAAACATTTTTTTTGTGTTTGGTACTTTCGACCCTCCGGGGGCCCTCGCCGGGCCCCGAGACCGTCAAACAACGGCTCAAGTCGGCGACGAGCGAGGGGGGAAATGAGAAGGAGAAGGCCTTCTCAGAGGACGGCGGGACTTCTCAGAAGCCCTCGCCCCTTCTGAGAAGTTGTTTTTGTCTTCGGGGAAGGCTTCGAAAACTTCTCAGAAGGTCGGGGGGCTTCTGGGCCTTTGAGAAGGCCCGCCCTTTCTCAATTCCCCCCCCGCTGCTCGCCGCCGATCAAGGTGAAAAGCCAGTCCCTGGGATGGGGTCCAGACCTCCAGTTGCGCGCGTCTTGAAACAGGCACGGCGTCGGAGCTGTGGGTTGGACGCGCGGCGGAGGACCGCGAGATATTCTACAAACTTCGGGCGCACAGGTTTCTCCAGTACATATTTGTTTGTCTCGTGTCGCCTTCTGGGGAGCGATTTCAGATCTGCGGGGCAGTCAACACTGGATCTGCGGGTGGACAATTGCTCCAGGACAGGGGTCAAGATCCCTGGGGCCCACATATAGAAGAAATCAAGCCATCGGACGCCGACAGCTCCCTGACCACGTTGAGCAGGATTCGCTGTCGGTGCCGCCGCCGACGGCGTCCCTTTGGTGCGAACGTCGCCTGCCCAGCAACGTTTGATGTTGAGCATGGTGTGGTCCATGGTCAGATATCAGGTTATCTGCTGCCCAAAGTGTGCTGACCGCCAGGCCCAAAGTGTGCTGCTGCTCCCTGCGTGTTCCGCCTCGCGTCTTCGACGAAGGACGACTGCATACACCGCCGCCGCCAGACCCCAAAGCACCCAGCGCGCCATGGAGATCCCGCCCCACATTCTCCGGTCGGGATCGCTCGAAGAAAGCTCATTCTTCGCTCTGCAGACTTCTAGTCGCCCGCACGGTAAGGATGAGTGACTTTCCAAGGTTCCCTGTGCATCCTTCCCCTTCGGCCCATCATTGGCCGCTTTCTCTTGCCCTTGCCCCGCCCACAGAGTGCCGACATGGCCTTCCAAGGCCCTTGCATCCTTACCGTGCGTCCTCTTTCTACGGGCGGACTGTGCTCGCTCCCCCCGCGGTGGCGCTCGGCCACGGCCGCGAGCAGCTCGGCGTCGCTGCCGCTCGTGGTCAGGCCATCAGCTGCCCACGGCCGCCCCCTCGGCACGGGGCGGCGTGGCACTGGCCAGGCCCGAGGGCCAGGGTGCCAGAGTGCCAGGGTGGCCACGGGGCAGTGGGAGGGCAAGGAGGCGAAGGGCGGAGTTAGAGGAGGAGGATTACGAGGAAGAGGAGGAGGAGAAGAAGAGGAGGAGCCAGAGAGGAGGAGGAGGAGGAGGAGGAGGAGGAGGAGGAGGAGAAGGACAAGGAAGAGGTGGTTGAGGAGGTGGTTGAGGAGGAGGAGGACGACGACCAGTGTAAACCCAAGATTCGTCAACGATGTTGGAGTAAACCCTCCTTCCGAGCTCCCTCTTCACTGGGGGAAGTGCCCCGTTGGCAGACAACCGTTTGAAGATTTTGAAGCGTGCCAAAGCATTTCTCTCGGACTCCAACGCCATGGATCAACTTGACCGTTTCGTCTTGACGATCCTGAATCGTGCCACTTCACTGCGTGTCCACGTAATTGTCGCGCCTTGACAATCCCAAATCGCTCCAAACACCGTTTCTGGTACCTTAGCCATGCGAATCCGTGAACCTCTTGTATAGTAGAAAATGCTATTGGGCGCGGCGATGAAGCGAGAGCCACATTTTGAAAAGGACCCGCTGTCAATCTGCGAAACTCTTCTTAAGACGAGTGTGCGCGGCGCTAAGGCGAGAGCCACATTTCGGAAGGGGCCCGCCCCCCATCCGTGACACTATTTCCAACGTTTTAGTTTCCAGATCATACATGGTGAGGAGGTCTCAGGCGAAACACCCGGCCCGCCTTTTCGTCTAGTCTCGGGGCGCGACAGGTATCAGTTTTGCACAAGGAATGGATCAGGAGGAGCAGGGGTAGCACGAGGAGGATGAGGAGGAAGAGGTGGTGGTGGAGGAGGAGGGCAGGAGCAGTTGGCGGCGCTTGCAGTACCTTCCCCCTGGGCACGGGCTAGCTTTGACTGCTCTCCGCCGCCGCGACCGGAGCCATTTTCGGCCCTCGGGCTCGGGCGCGATCCGCACTTGCTGCGCGAGAGGC